CTCTTCATTAGTGTTTTATGCATATTTGATCCTTATAGCCACAGGTGTGAGGTGCTCATCTTCATTTAAGAGCTTACATTGCATAAATTACACAGTTATGGTTTTAAGTCCAGGTTTTCCAAGATATTGTAAAACATATATTTTAAAAGAGTTGTAACATCCAATACAAACTTTAATTGTCTGTATATTTAATCCTACATATAATATTGACCTTAAAATAACTCTTAATTACAAAATACTGTTATTTATTACTAAAAATTAAAAGCACACATATACAAGAAGGCACAAAGAAGAGAGTAGAGACCATTTTTTTCATGCACTATCATCACCACATTTTGTTTTATTAAATCTTTGTCCTTAAATACTCAGTTGGTAATGGTGAGACCAGAGGACTTTCTGGACTACTTATTGCAAACATTTAGTTCTTCTGTGTTTTTATATATAATGCTATAATGAAAATGAACATTGTAGATAAATCTTTAATTCCCATTTTGCTATTTCTTTTGTGTATGTGGGTGTGTTTGCGCACACATGCTTGTGTGTATACATGTATATTTATGTGCGTGTGCAAGCATGTGTGAGCAGTGAGGCCAGAGAGCCACCTGTGTTGTTGATTCTCAATGTTGTCTACCTTATTTTAAGAAGTGCCCTTTTTTTTTGGAGCTTGCTTACCAGGTGAAGCTGGCAGGCCAGCAAGCCCCAGGGTGCCACCTGTCTCCTCCTCCTTAGCCCTGGAAATATAAGTGTGTGCCCCCACACCCAGCTTTGTGTTTTGGTTTTCCTTGAATGAGTAATTAAAAAAGGAATTTTTTTTTCTTAAATGATTTTGATATGTATTCCTCAATTGCTGTTCCATTGTTAACAGGACCAGATTTTTTTTTTTTTTTGGTTTTTCGAGAAAGGGTTTCTCTGTGTAGCTTTGTGCCTCCTGGAACTCATTCTGTAGCCCAGGCTCACCTCGAATTTACAGAGATCCACCTGCCTCTGCCTCCCGAGTGCTGGGATTAAAGGCGTGCGCCGCCGCCGCTGCCGCCACCGGCTAGGACCAGATGTTTTTATATTGACAATTACTTTTATGAGCTATAATATGTAAATAGCTAAGTGAGGTAAAGAATAAGATTCCCTGCCTTTAAACAGTTATTCAGTTGCAGCAACCAAAACGAGCTATAGGAATTCATAGGTAGTCATAGAACGTACTATCATTCTATACTTAAAAAGTAATTCCTCATTTGAATCTAGGAACAAGATCAAAGATACAAACTTTAAACCCATATTCTTTCAGGTTAGGGAAACCCAATCAATCTCCAATTTCAATGGACTTCACCTGTGTCATAATGACACAAAAAGAAATAAACAATGTAGTAAACAGAATACTGGGTATACACACACACACACACACACACACACACACACACACACACACAGAGCTATCCCTTAATCTCTGGAAATGAGAGTATCCAGTGTTTGGACTCCATATGTCCCCTTAGCCTTGATGAGTGGAACTAAATTTTGCCCACTGTGAATTCTTAGATCTTCTTCAGAGAGGAATGTAAATGTAAATGTAATTGTAAACCTGCTGATGTGTTGAGATCCTAAGCAGAGAACTCAGTTGAGCTTTTCTGTGCTGGGAATTTTGATCCACAGAAACTATGACGATAAAGTTGTTCTTCATTACTGCAGTAAAAATACTAATATGGCAGGTTAGTACTATAATAGGCAGAAGTAGACAACAAAATCAGTTACTAACCTGCCATATTAATATTTTTACTATGCTTCTCAATTTCTTAGTCTCAGTCCTTTAAAATGTTATAGATTAAAACATACTTACGAGTGTTTCATTCTGGCACAGGAGATGTTTGGCTGTATACTTTCTTTATAGTCAGGGTGCTATTCTTCACTTGGTTGCCTGAAAATTGGTTGAGGTCCAGGTTTTTTCCTTAAATATGATATTTAAACTGTTTAGTAGAAGTTGATAAGGTACAAAGCAGTAGACATTAATTTATAAAGTTTGCTTTAACAAGTTTCAAATTGCTTTTGAATTAATCAGTAATAGAAAAGTAGTGTAAGTCCTGACAAATAGAGTAGTCACTCATTAATTATTTCAACAGATATTTCAAATGTGGCGGATACCTTAGAGCTCTCTTTCAGGGAGTCTAGCTACAGAAGGTAGTACAGGGCTATAATTAAGTAAGAAGAGGTGCTGGGAAGATGGTTCAGTGGAACAGTTGCTGATTCACAAGCGTGAGGACCAAAGTTCAGATTCCCAGAACCCACACAAAAAGCTGGGTGAAGAGGCACATGCCCCCTTGATGGGCAGCAGGGGCAGAGACAGGAGAATCTCTGAAGCTATTAGCCAGCTCATTAACCAATCTACCAACCTGGATTCAGGGTGGAAAAAAAAAGTACATATTGTCTCGTCTTTTCCTTTTTTTTTTTTTGAAGTGAGGAATCATTTGCTGATGTTTGTATTATACATTCACAATTAAAAATATTTTCCAGCTGGTGTGCCGGCACATGCCTGTAATCCACCAGCACTTGGGAAGTGAAGGGAAGAAGTAGTCAAACTTCATTCATGATAGAACCAGCTTGGGCTACATGAAACCCTGTTTCAAACAAACAAAAAAGAACAAAATTGTTGTCTCAATACTGAGTTACCAGTTCAAGGCTGGTCTGGTCTATATTATGAGTTAGAGGCTAGCTTGGGCTCCATAGCAAGACCATGTCTTAAAAACTTGGAGATAAAACAAAACAAAAAACAACTAATGACTTGGTAAGACCAGCTATGGTGCCACACACCTGTAATCCCAGCATTCAGGTAACTCACAGTAGGAGATTGATGAGTGTGAAGCTAATCTAGGCTGTATGATGAAGTTCCAGCTGACCAGTGTGGTCTAGATAGTTTTTCAATGGTGGTAGTAGTAGTAGCTTCTTTGTACATGAAATAGAAAAGTAGCTTTCTTTAGAGGAAGTAAGATTTATACAGAGTAGTGGAAAATGTTAACCTATAAAGTAGAGTATAACAAACTTTGATCATGAAAGTTGAGTTTGACAAAGCACACAAGGAGAATACTGTTTCAAAGAAGTTACTTTGGAATGTTTTTGTTGGTGACTATTTCGGAAAATCTTAAGTTCTTGTCTATGGATGATCTTAGAAAACTTTATTAAATGTCTAACTTGCTAAGATAGACTTAATATCTGGTTTTCTGTGATAGCTTATTTATATAAAATATTCTGCTACAAAGATCCACCCCTAACCATGAAGCTATTTGCAGTTGATCACTGATGGCAAAGGGAAAATCAGTTTTCTCTGATGGAGTGTCACAGGATTTATCAGTCACACTCAGGACAGGCCTCATGCCCAAGAGTAGTTGGCCAACAAAACAGACTCCGTGGTTTTTGTTTGTTTTATGTGTTGTGTGTGTGTGTTGGTATTCTTTATCTTACTGGTGTAGCTAGAGTTTTCCTGCCTTGCCCACAGTCAGGACAAATCTCTATCACCCGCCAGTCCCACAGCCGCTCAGACCCAACCAAGTAAACACAGAGACTTATATTGCTTACAAACTGTATGGCCGTGGCAGGCTTCTTGCTAACTGTTCTTATAGCTTAAATTAATCCATTTCCATAAATCTATACCTTGCCACGTGGCTCATGGCTTACCTGTGTTTTCACATGCTGCTTGTCATGGTGGTGACTGGCAGTGTCTCCTCTCATCTTCCTGTTCTCTCAATTCTCCTTTCTCTTAGTCCCGCCTATACTTCCTGCCTGGCCACTGGCCAATCAGTGTTTTATTTATTGACCAGTCAGAGCATTTGACATACAGACCATCCCACAGCATACTGGTATTGTTTATTTGTTTTCTTTAGAGAGAGAACATGTAGTTGGGTAGATGGGGAGGTGGTGAAGATCTGCGAGGAATTGGGGGAGGGGAGATCAAAATATATTGTATACAAAAGTTTTTAAATTAAAAATAATTTAAGCCGAGCGGTGGTGGCGCACGCCTTTAATCCCAGCACTCGGGAGGCAGAGCCAGGCGGATCTCTGTGAGTTTGAGGCCAGCCTGGGCTACCAAGTGAGTCTCAGGAAAGGCGCAAAGCTACACAGAGAAACCCTGTCTCGAAACACCAAAAAAAAAAAAAAAAAAAAAAATTAAATGTTTGGCTAGCATTTATATAACATTAAGAAACATACTCAAATATGTAAAAACTCTTCATCTTAGTATTCATTTAATTTTTTAATATTTTTAAGAATGAGTATGACTTTTATTAGAATATAAAAGATTGTAATGATATGATTACATTTAATCTACCTAAAGAAATGATATATGTATCTTTACAGTATACAATATGGCAGTGAGGGCTGGGCGGTGGTGGCGCATGCCTGTAATCCCAGCACTCGGGAGGCAGAGGCAGGTGGATCTCTGTGAGTTCGAGGCCAGCCTGGTCTACAGAGCTAGTCCATGACAGGCTCCAAAGCTACAGAGAAACCCTGTCTCGAAAAACATAAATAAATAAATAAATAAATAAATAGATAGATAGATAGATAGATAGATAAATAAATAAATAAATAAATAAAACAAAAAACAAGAAAACAATATGGCAGTGAGAAACTTAAAGAATACATAATATATCTTAGAATAATGAATACATTATGTATAAATGATATATATGTATATATATGTGTGTGTATATAGATATATATGAGACAGGGTCTTGCTATATAGTACAGGCTGACCTCTAACTCATGATCCTCCTTCCCTAGCAGGAGTACTAACCTATGTGGGTATGTGCTAGCACACCCAGCCTACTGATAATTTTAAAGATATACTTTAAAAGTAAGTTATTAAAAAAAAACTTGTCATCTTGTCTTATTCACAGGCCAATGTAAAGTTACACAACAGTTTTCCAAAGAGTTTCCTAATACATTAATAAAATAATTAAAAAATTTCCAAATTGTTGTTTCCTATGTTAATGTTACACGTTTCTTTCTTTTCTCTTGTCTAGTGAACAGATATGGTCCAGAACTGTACATGAATCACATTAGTTGGAGATCGTGAGCATTCAATAATGAGTGGTGCAGCTTTAGGACTTGAGATCGTTTTTGTCTTTTTTCTGGCATTGTTCCTCCTTCATCGATATGGAGACTTTAAGAAACAGCATAGACTTGTAATCATTGGAACACTGCTTGCTTGGTATCTCTGCTTTCTTATTGTCTTCATACTGCCACTGGATGTTAGTACGGTAAGAGTGAAATTGAGATACAATTTAAAAGATGGTTGTAATCATACAATTTGAAATATGCTTTGTTAAAATGACAAAACTATGTGAGGTTATCATTTTTTTAATTAAAAAATTTACTACTCACCCTACATACCACCCACAGATCCCACCTCCTCCCTCCTCCCACCCCCCAGCCCTCTCTCCCAAGCTACCCCTGATCCCCACATTCTCCAAATCAGGGTCTCCCATGGGGAGTCGGCAGAGCCCGGCACACCTAGCTGAGGCAGGTCCAATCCACTCCCCGTCATACCAAGGCTGCGCAAGGTGCCACACCATAGGCACCCGGCTTCCAAAAGCCTGCCCATGTACCAGGGATGGATCCCAATCTCCCCACCCGGGTGTCTCCCAAACAGTTCGAGCTAAATAGCTATCTCCCATATCCAGAGGGCCTAGTCCAGTCCCATGGGGGCTCCATAGCCATTAGTCCACAGTTCATGGGTCTCCACTAGTGTGGCCTGTCATCTCTGCATGTCTTCCCATCATGGTCTCCATGTCCCCCGCCCGTGAAATCCCTCCTCTCTCCAATCATTGGATTTCCTGAGCTCAGCCTGGCCCAGGGCCGTGGATCCCTGCATCCACCTCCATCAGTCACTGGACAAAGGCTCTATGATGACAGTTAGGGTATTCAGTAGACCGGTCACCAGAGTAGATCAGTCCAGGCACCCCCTCAATTACTGCCAGCAGTCCAAGGCGGGGTCTTCCCTGTGGATTCCTGAGAGCTTCCCCAGCACCCTGCCTCTTCCCACTTCATGATGTCTTCATCTATCATGGTATCTTCTTCCCTGCTCTTCCACTCCATCCTTGCTCTAGCTTGACCCTCCCATTTCCCTATCTTCTCACCCCCCATTCCTTGCTCTTTGCCACCTCCCAACCCCCAGCCCACTCATGCAGATCCCATCCATTTCTACTTCACTGGGCTATCCATGTGTCCTTCCCAGGGTCCCTCCCTGTCAGCTAGCCTCTACGAAGCTGTGGACTGCAGTCTGGCTATCCCTTGACCTACATATCATTTTGAATTTCAATGTTGTTTTAAAAATTTGGTTATTAAACAGTATAGCCAGGAAAATAAGTAGGTAGATTTATGAAAAATCTTTTAAGTATTTGGTGAATTCTTGGTTCTCAATTTAAAACATGTGTTAATTGCTTTAGACAATATACAACCGATGCAGACATGCTGCTGCAAATTCCAGCCCTCCTGAAAATAATAATGTCACGGGAGTGTATGCACCTGTCACCCCAACTCCGAGGTATTTTTTCCTTCTACTTCCCTGTTTAATATAATACTGCAGTATTTCAACTGATAGTCTTACCACCTGGTTTCCCTTATTCCCTATTGTTCCTCCTACTTTCATCCTTGCTAGTATATTTATTATATTGCATGGTGTTTACATATACATTTTAAATCTACATCAGTATCCAGTATGGTAGTGAGAAACTTAAGACATAAATTTTAGTCTATTTCCACCCCTTGTCTAAAACCTCTTATTCATTTCACTCTATCTTAAATATAAAAGTCATGAACATTCCCAAGTTTCAGCACCATAAATAAATTTATAAAGGAGAAGCATTTTCCTTGTCATCTAATTTACAAGAGTTAACACAAGTAGAGTTTGGCATGGTGGCACACACCTATAACCCCAGCACATCAAGAGTTCAAGGCCAGCCTCACCTACATAGTTCAAGACTAGCCTAGGCTACATGAGACCTTGTTTTTAAAATCCCTAAACAGAAACAAGTTAAAATAAGGTTATTGTGATAAAGGGTATTTCTCTCATATTAGACATTCTTAAGAAACGTCATAGGGGCTAGATAGATGGTTCAGCACTTAAGAGTTAAGAGCACTTCCTGTTCTTGCAGAGGTCCCAAATCCAATTTCCAACACCCATGTTGGGCAGTTCACAACAGACAAAACCTCTGGCTTCTGTAGCACCTGTACTCATGTGCGTGCACACACACATACATGGAAACTCATACACATAATTAAAAACAAAGTTTAAAAGAAACATAATTTCACATGAATAAACATATTCAAAATTTCAAAAGGTTCTATTGAATCCCTATTAAATTTCCACATAAGAAGCTTACTCATGTTGACATGAAGCTTTTGTCAGTACTTTGGGGAGTATTTAGGTCTTCTTTATGCAGCTTTTAAAAGAAAATATAGGACCTAGCAAGATAGCTCAGTTAATACAGTGCTTGCCTCCCAGTCATAAGGACCTGAGTTTGGTCCCCAGAATCCACATAGAATTGTTGTGCCTGGTGATGTGCACTTGTAATCCCAGTGTTGGGCTCACTGAACAACCAGTGTAGCCAAATTGATGCGCTCCAGACCAGTTAGGAGCCCTGTCATCCTGAGGATGACACACCAAGGATGGCATCCTCTGACCTTCTTCCACATACATGCTTTCACGTACACGAACGTGCACATATACATGCAAGAATATCTAACTTGAGTAAAGGTAAAATGGTAGTCTTCTTTGAATCACCATTAAAAACTAGATGTAGATCAGTAATAGCTTGAGGATTTAGAAGTCCTTGAATTAAAAAGATAGCCTCCTTGTCTAGAAAACTTTTAAATGGAAGAATTTATGGTCAGAGACTCTTCATTAGAAAATGTGAACAGAATTGTGTATAGATGTGGGTGCTTATCTCTGCAGAAGTGATAGTGTCTAATTAGCATTTCATCTTTCAGGAATTAATCACCTAAATTTCTGTTATATTTAATTCCTATTAAATTCCTATTCCAACCTTCACTACTATGTAACAATAAAGGACAAAGTATAGCCAGCCCTACAAATGGGATGAGTGTATTTTAAGTGTAATCATTGAGTATTTGATTCCATAAATCTATTTGTTTTATAAATATTTCCACACTATAAGCCAGTTAATTAAATACTAGGGCTGCTTTTCACCAAATAACTAAAAATACACTGGAAATTGGAAACTTAAATGATATTCTTTTTTAGAGTAAACAGTTTTGTTCTTTTCATGTACAGTTTTTTGTTTGACAGCTTTGTTTTTAAATTTTTCTGAGATATTATGATTTGATCAGTAATTATTAATTTGAAGCAAATGAACTTTGCTACTCACAAATTTATATAAACTTTCATTTAAGAAATAATTATTTGTGATTAATTGACTTTAAATTGTTATAACAGGCAACACCCATGTTTCAAGCCATGGAGTTACATTCCGGACGGGATCATGCCAATTTTCTGGAGGGTAGTTTATTGGACATCACAGTTTTTAACGTGGTAAGTGGCAGTGAAGGATGCATTTTTGACTAAAAGTGATTAATTTTTAGTGAACCTTAATATTTTGAAATGTATATATCCCATTTTTACTGACTCAAATTTCTCCTATCTTTGCAAAAAGGAAAGAGGAAAAAAGCAGACAAAAATAGAACACAGAAATGAAAATTTTTCTTGTGACTCTTTCCTTCCATGTTAGCCTTGTTTGTCTGTAGATGTATCCAACCTTCTTATTAAATAAGAAACACAGAACCAATGCAAAGAAGAAAGCCAAGAGGTCAGAGCTAAGAGCTAAAACCTTACCCTTCCTCCTGCGGTGGTCCTACCTCTCCGAACCAGAGCTACCCCTGTGTTAAAGTCTTTATATAGAGTTCCTGTCCTGCCTTCTCATTGGTTGTAAACCCAACCACATGACCTCCTCCTCACGGCCTGTCTGTATAGGCCTCCAGGTTTTCCTTGATTGGTATTGAGATTAAAGGCATGTGTATCCAATAATGGCTGTATCCCTGAACACACAGAGACTTACCCAGCTCTGCCTACCAAGTGCTGGAATTACAAGCGTATGCTACCACTGCCCTGCTTTCCTATGGCTTGCTAATAGCTCTGACCCCTGGGCAACTTTATTTATTAACATACAAATAACATTTTAATACAAATAAAATATCACCATATTTGTCCTTCAATCCAGCCCTCTTTCAGCTCTGTTATTACGTGAAAGTGCTTTTACTAAGGTCATCACTTTCCCTTGGTTTCCTTCTCTTTAATTTTTCTTTAATATCTTTTTTATTGAAATAGAATTACATAGCTTCCTCTCTCCCTTTCCGCCCTCCAGGCTATCCCAAGCACCCTCTCTCACACCTATACCACACCTCCACCCCAACTCTCAAGTTGATAGCCTCTATTTTACATACTACCCGTTAAATCAGTTTTTGTTTGTATATGTATGGTTACAGGCTTGAACACTGTGCATTGGACAACCAGCAAGGAAACTTATCCCTGGGAGAGGCTAATTCTCCCTCTCCTAGCAGTCATTAGTTGTCTGTAGTTCTCGTCTAGAGCAGTGGTTCTCAATCTGTAGGTCATGACCCTTTTGGGGGTTGATCAACCCTTCACCGGGGTCACCTAAGACTATCGGAAAACACAGATATTTACATTAGGATTCATAACAGCAAAATTACAGTTATGAAGTAGTAATGAAAATAATTTTATGGCTGGGGGACACCACAACATGAGGAATTTATTTATGCAGCTATTTCTAGGAGAGACTGTTTCACCACAGACTTCCTGGTATTCTATCTCTTAAAAATCTTTCCTCTTCCACAGTGACCTCTGAGACATAGATACAAGAGCTGTGATATAGACTGGGTTGGGGCTGGGCTCCCCACAGTCTCTTGATCTGCATTGTGTCCATTTGTGTTTTTCTGTAATGGTCTCTATTTGCTGAAAGAGAAGCTTCTTTGATGAGGCGTAGTAGCTACACCAATCTGTGGATATAAGAATAAGATTTAGAATATAGTAAGGAATTAGGCTGGTCTAGCAAAGTGGCGGTAGTAGATTGTTCTGTAATGTACATGTCCTCACTAGCCGGTTTTCAGTACCAGGCATGATTTCCTTCCTATTGAGTGGGCCTTAAGTCCAATTAGACAGATGTTGGTTACCACCAACAAATGTGAGTGCCATTTACTGCACTATTACAGATACCTTGCCATGCTAGTTACTATTCTGGTTTATAGCTATTGCAGTTGGGTAGGACTATTTAATTGCTTCCCTCTCTTGGCAGTTTGCATAGTATTTACTGAAGCAGGCTAGACTGAAGGAAAGAAGCTTTCAGGTTAGATCCAGCTAAAATAACCAAGTCTTGGGTCCTAACTGTGCAATGTCTTTAGCAATAGGGGCCCACCCTCTAGGCCTGTCTGCTTACTCATACATTCTCATTTCCTTCATGGACATTTCCTTTATTTCTGTGACCCAGTTCCTAAATGTTGGTCTTCCCTTGAGCCTTATGCTTAGTCATCTTGTCTGCCTGTCCCCACAGAGCATCAATTACAGCTGTGATTTTAATAACCAGTAATGTACTCCAAGTCTATTTCTCTACCCATTGTAGTTTATCTTTCTTCTGTGCTCTAGACTCCCAGTTATCTTCTACCTTCTGATCCTTTCTTAAGATATTCTGCAGGCCACTAAGCTCTCAAACTGGATGTAGTGAACATTGCAAGAGGAAAATCACAAAACAAAATAAAATAGTATCTCTTGAAGTTTATGTTTAATATTCTTGACCATCCCTTAAAATTGCTATATTTTCCTTTGTTTATTTGTCTGTTTTCTCTTCATTTTCTAAACTTCTTTTATGATCCTTTTCTATTCCTTCTAAAATGTCACCTTAACTCTTGGCATATGACTTTACTGTTTGCCTCATAAGGAAAATAGAAGTGATCATATGACAGTTCTTTCAGTATCTGTCTTATCAACACATCTACCTACTTACCAATCCTTTTCTCCTTGCCCTCCAGGGATGGAAGATTCATTTTTATTATGCTAACCCTACTTCCTAAAATATGAACCTATCCTCTTAAGTTTTGTTACTAACTTATAGCTTTCAGTTTTGACAACATAATTTCCTCATCATATAAAATAGTACTCCATGCACATAAATAAATTTGTCACCTACAAATAAATATATTTTTTAAAAAGTCTCTCTCAACTCAAATCTTTTTCCAGTCTCTACCTCACTAATATCATTACGGCAAATGTTTTTGGAGACTTTTAAAAAAATAGAAGTATAAAATCTTACTAAAAAAATGCACTCATTGTATTTAATTCATTTTTCAAAGTGAATGCATCTGTATACCAGCACTCAATGATACAGGCCAATACCCCTGAAGTACTCCTCATGTTCCTCTCTAGATATTTTTTAATCCTTAAGAGAAATTATACTTTTTACTTCCATCACTATAGATTGATTTGTTGTGCTTAGAAATTTATAAATATAGACTTCTATAGCATGATTTTGCTCTCTCTCTTTTTCTCTTTGTTCACATACTTGAGAGATTCATCTATGCAATTTTGTACATACCATTGTTTTGTTACTGTTATTCATTTCTGTGATACATTCTACATATATATATATATATATATCTCCCATAGTTTATAATAGGATATCCAGCTAGACTTCTTAAATATATAAACTTTCTCCAGTTGATGTCTCCATTTGGTTACCGTTACTTTATTCCTCAATCCATGATATCCTTTTTTAAAAATTAATTAAATTTTTTCATTTAGTTTACATCCCTACTTCAGCTCTCCCCATTCCCCTCCGCCTCTCCCCTCCCCCCCCAATCCACCCCTCCTCCATCTCTGTTCAGAAAGGGGCAGGCCTCTTCCCATGGGTGCCAATATAGCATGGCATATCAAGTTGAAGTAGGACTAAGCACCTCCCCTTTTATTAAGGCTGGGCAAGGCAACCCAGCATTAGGAACAGGTTCCCAAAAGCCAGCCAAAGTGTTAGAGACAGGCCCTGTTCCCACTGCCAGGAGTCCCACAAGTAGACCAAGTCACACACCATCACACATATTCAGAGGGCCTAGACCTGCCCCATGAAGGCTCCCTAGCTGTCAGTCCATAGTCTGTGAGCTCCCATGAGTAGGCCAGTTACTTCTGTGGGTTCCCTTGTGATGATCCTGACCTCCCCCCGCCCCCAGCTCATACAATCCTTCGTCCCTCTCCTCAGCAGTGTTCCCCAGGCTTGGCCTAGTGTGATTGGCTGTGGACTCTGATTCTGTTCCCATCAGTTACTGACAAAGGCTCACCAATGACATTTGGGGTAGTCACCAATCTGATTACAGGAGAAGGCCAATTCAAGCTACCTATCCATTACTGCTAGGAGTCTTAGCTGGGGTCATCCTTGTAGATTTGTGGGAGTTTCCTTTGCACCAGGTTCCTGCCTAACTCTAAAATGCCCCCCCCTCAACTTTCCAGTTGTCTCTTTAAGTACTCTCCTCCTCTACTGCCCCAACCTGATCCCTCATGTTCCTATCCCCACCTGCCTCCAGTCCACCCACAAAATCTCTTCTATTTCCCCTTCCCAGGGAGAACTGGGTATCCCATCTTGAGCCCTCCTTGTTATATAGCCTTGTTATATAACATGATTATTCTTTATATCTAATATCCACTTATGAGTGAGTACATACCATGTTTGTCTTTCTGGGTCTGGGTTACCTCACTCAGGATGATTTTTTTCTAGTTACTGTTTGCCTTCAGATTTCATGATATCATTGTTTTTTAACAGCTGAGTAATATTTCTTTGTGTAAATGTACCACATTTTCTTTATCCATTCCTCAGATGAAGAACATCTAGGTTGTTTCCAGGTTCTGGCTATTACAAATAATGCTACTATGAATGTAATTGAGCAAGTGTCCTTGTGGTATGATTGAGCTTCCTTTGAGTATATGCCCAAGAGTGATATATCTGGGTCTTAAAGTAGATTGATTCCCAAATTTCTGAGAAACTGCCATATCAATTTCCAAAGTGGCTGTACAAGTTTGCACTCCCACCAACAGTGGAGGAGTGTTCCCCTTACTCCACATCCTCTCCAACATAAACTGTCATTAGTGTTTTTAATCTTAGCCGTTCTGAGAGGTGTAAGATGGAATCTCAGAGTCGTTTTGATTTGGATTTCCCTGATGGCTAAGGATGTTGAACATTTCTTTAAGTGTATCTTGACCATTTCAGATTCTTCTGTTGATAATTCTCTGTTTAGATCTGTATCCCATTTTCTAATTGGATTATTTGGTTTTTTGATGTCTAGTTTCTTGAGTTCTTTATATAGTTTGGAGATCAGCCCTCTCTCAGATGTGGAGTTGGTGAAGATCTTTTCCTATTCTGTAGGCTGCTGTTTTGTCCTATTGATGATGTCCTTTGCCTTACAGTTTAATTTGGTCCCATTTATTAATTGTTGATCTCAGTGTCTGTGCTACTGCTGTTATATTTAGGAAGTGGTCTCCTGTGCCAATGCGTTCAAGGTTACTTCCCACTTTCTCTTCTATCAGGTTCAGTGTAACTGGTTTTATGTTGAGGTATTTGATCCATTTGGACCTGAGTTTTGTACATGGCAATAGATATGGATCTATTTGTACTCTTTTACATGTTGACATCCAGTTATGCCAGCACTATTTGTTTTTTTTTGTTGTTGTTTTTTGTTTTTGTTTTTGTTTTTACCAGCACTATTGTTGAAGATGCACTCTTTTTTTCTATTGTATAATTTTGGCTTCTATGTCAAAAATCAGGTGTTCATAGGTGTGTGGATTTGCATCAGGGTCTTCAGTTTGATTCATTGATCCACCTGTCTGTTTTTAGGCACTGTGTTGTGGAGATGAAGTCCTGGGTCCACAGGACTGAGCCCTCCACCCCTATCCCCGCCCCTTGCTCCAGCAGATCTTCACCCCATCTGAAATCCTGTGCTTTAAAAAAAAAAAAAAAAAAAAAGTTTCTTCATTCTGTAGATGTAGTCCAAAGTCACTCTAAAGGAATTATGTTATTTATGTCTTTGTTTTTGAAGCAGGATCTTACTATGTAGCCCAGGCTGTCCTCAAAGTCAGCAATCTTCTTGTCTTAGTTTTCCAAGTGCTAAGATTACAGTCATATACCACACCTCTGACCTCTTCCTGAGGGCACTAAAGCCTAATTTTAGACCTTTTAGAGAATCTGAAGTCACTCATGCTGTTCTCCTTTGCTGCCATTGAAGCCTCATTTGCTGTCTCCTGCATTAGTACCTTTGTTTTTCCTGAAATTAAATATTGTAAAAATAATTATCACCTTTAATCCCAGCACTTGGGAGGCAGAGGCAGGTGGATCTTTGTGAGTTTGAGGCCAGTCTGGTCTACAGAGTGAGTTCCAGGACAGCTAGGGCTATTACATAGAGAAACTCTGTCTCAAAAAGTTTTAAAAAAAAAACCTTTTTTAAAAAAAAAAAAGAAAGAAAGAAAAAGAAAAAAATTATTTATCATGGTTCATTCAGTATTAACATGTAATTACTCATAATTAAATTTATTGGGGAGGAAAATTATACTTTGAGATTCATGTATTTGGGATATTTTAAGATTATGCAGATACATAATTGAGTTTTTAATCATATTTTCCATCAAACTAGGATTCTGTTACCTTTTATGCAGTCATATGCAAGATCTGGAGGGTTTTCCATCACTGGAAAGATAAAAACAGCCCTGATTGAGAATGCAATCTATTATGGCACTTACTTGCTGATATTTGGAGCATTTCTAATTTATGTGGCTGTAAACCCACGTTTGCATTTAGAATGGTAAGAAAAGTAGTCTTTTTAACATTGTTCTGTGTATGTTTGTACTGTTTTCAATGAACTTTTATTGCATACATACAAGTAAACAAACACACTTGCCAGATTATGTCTTATAGATACCCTTCAAAGAATATCTGAATAATGCATATTACTAAGAAAGAAAATCAAGAATGACATGTTTAAATACAGCTATTAGGTGGTGGATTAATGTTTTGACAAATAACTGTACAGTAAAGAACAATATTTTTAATAGAAATCCAAATTTTATAAATGCTCAAAATGAATTTTCCCCCCAACAGGAGCTTATTTTATTTTTTTTTCCTGTTTGCCTTGTTGTAGTTTGACAGAATAGTTTTCCTTAATGTTATTATGGGCATTTAGGTATTCAAGTATTTCAATAAATTAAAATCTATTTTTTGTATATGATTTTTAATATATGTTATCCAAAATTTATGTATGGAATAGTAGAGATTGGTTTCATTGTTGGTCTAAATCAACCACAACACAAGTTAATTTAACTGTTTACAGAGGTCTCATAGTAGAAAGCACCTAGTGAAAAATGTTTTCTGTGGAGGAAGTGTGTGTGTGTGTGTGCTATGAATTATCCTATATTCTAATTTTGAGTATAATTGAACCAGTGTTTCCCATATTAAAGTATTTTTATAGTCACATTCTGACTTTACATTAAAATACATGGATTATCTGCTGTGACTGAAAAGAAGAGTTGAAAATTTCTTCATATGAAATCCTACTTATCCTTTTGGACAATTCTCTGAAAATTTATATTTATCACAGATATCTGCTTATGTTTTCTATTTCTTAGGAACCAACTTCAGACTATTGGGATAGCTGCTGCCAACACATGGGGTCTGTTTCTTCTTGTGTTATTATTGGGGTATGGCCTGGTGGAGATTCCTCGGTCATATTGGAATGGAGCCAAAAGAGGTTATCTACTTATGAAGACTTACTTTAAGGCAGCAAAACTGATGACAGAGAAAGCAGATGCAGAAGAGAATTTGGAGGATGTAATGGAGGTAAGCAAATTTAATCCTACAAAAGCGACTCTGACCTAATACTCTGTCTCTGTTGACTGTTTTTTTGACTGCAAATGGTGTCATGTGTGGTCTGTAAATGTTTTGTCAATGAGTACAGATCAAGTTCAACTTTTGTGATAGATGTCTATTTTATGATAGTACATGGTAAAATTGGCTATATATATATATATATTAGTTGTCAGTAGCACCTAATTTGAAAAGTTGTTCAACATTTCTGGGTTGTGCTGATCCTTTGTGAGTTTTATTAACTTGTCAGAGATTTGAAAAAGAAATATGTATGCAAGTGGACTTGCATGGTTCAAATTTGTTTTTCAAGGGTCAACTTTAATTCTTAAACTTTACAAAAGACATTTTCTTCTTAATCCCCATTTTATAAATGAAGAAAATGAAGTCCTGGGAGTTGAAGTAACTTCCTTCTGTACACCTAGCTAATAAGAGGAGCCAGGGATTTAACTTTAGTTCACATTTAAAATATGAAGAGCCAGATGGTGAATGTTTGAGGCTTTGTTGCCATGTGGTCTCTACTGTGGTTGCTTGGTGAATGTGGTCTGAAAGCAACTGTAGACTATGTAAGTGAGTGGGGGCAAGCCTGTATCTCAGTCTGAGACAGGTGGGAGACTACTGGATTTGCTTTAGTGTGATGACTCCGAATCTTAACTATTATCCTTTTTTTCTGTCTCTGAACCTTCTGTTCCCAACTTACTTCGTTTTCATGTCTTGAGAAACAAGAATTCTTCAGGAAGCCTTCTGTATTAGCAACATGAGGCTGCTATGACTTAAGTACCACAGACTGGGTAGCTCAGACAGCCTTGTTGTCTCTAAGAACAAGGTTTCAAAGGCAGTTTCTTCTGAGAGCCATGATGAACGTTTTTACATTTAGTTTGGTAGATATACAATTTGACACTTCTGAAGAAAACCTGTAAGTATTTAAAGACTTAAATTTGGTTAAACAATTACATTTGATGAAAAAAGATAGTTTTTACTTGATAGTGTTCTGTCCAAGAGTTGGTATTAAATTAAGTTGTTGCAGATTTGAAGAATTTAGATTTTGCCAGTTCATTTACAGCAAATACAAGTCAAATGTATTGTTTCAGAGTCTTTTGTTCACTTACAGTACTAGGGATTGAACCAAGTGTGTCACATACACTCAGTGGTTGCATACCTCTGTACTATATCCCCAACCTCTTCTTTACTTTTTATTTTTGATTTTTTCTCAGATCGTGACAGGTCTTTCAAAGATGTCTACCTAGGCTATGAACTCACTTTGTACTTGTGATCCAGCTGCCTCAGCCTCCTGAGCAGCTGGGATTTCAGGCCAGCTCAGATGAACCAGGAATGTCTGAATGAAATAGAGAGATGTTCTGTTATTAGATAGGATCCCTTAGGAATAGGACATGAAAATTAAAACCTGGCATTGTGCCTTGTATTTTATTTCAGTGTACTATTCATCAGTAGAAAGTGGTAGGAGTTAAATGTTTTTTTATAAGAAAAAATTTTTTTATAAGTAAAAAAGAAGGCATCCTTTTTTCCTCTCCTTCCCTTCCCCTCACTTCCTCTCTTCTTCCTATTCTTTCCCCACTACTTCCCTTTCTTTCTTTCTTCCCTACTCTCCTCTTTCTTTATTCTTCTTTTATTTGAGCTAGGATCTTACTATGCCATTATGCAGGTTAGGGTGAGATCATAGGCCTGTACTACCATGTCTGGCTGACAGCATTCTTTTTTAATGGATGTTTGGAAAAAACAACTCTTCTACATAGATAGCAGAACTATGCCCATGACTGTATTACCTGTCTAGAACAGAAGACTATACATTCATTCCCTTATTGTATATGATAAAAGTGGATGGTATACTGGAAGTGCTTTAATATGGAGAGGCTTCACAAAATCTGGAGAGAGATCAGAAAAAAAAATTTGACTAGGGATTTATTTAAAGAATTGCTAGAATGTGATAGCTAACAAGATTCTAATCAAATACCAGGAAGTTTAGTGGGTAAGGCCTCCTAAACAAGCTAATATTTCAAATGCCTCCCAAGCCTTAAAAATTAATTCTTGAGTAAACTTTAACTTTATACCAGATAGCAAATGTGAAAAGTTAACTGTTTCAGTCCCTGCTTTTGTTTAATGGGGCTAAATAATTTCAAGGGAAAACATACTATTTCACATATATGGTTAGATTATATAGTTAATGTTTAAAGTAAATAAATTTGAGCTAACTACAAATTTTAAGGCAACTTAGAAATGGAAAGATATAATGTAATAGCATCCAGGGTGTGTAGATGTAACCAACGGTCTTATTAAATAAGAAACACAGAGAAGATTCAGAGAAGAAAGCTTTTTTTTGTTCAAAACCTTAGAAGGTGACACCAAGGCCCAGATGATCCAACGTCCAGAATGGTTTCAAGGCAACTGACTCAGACGATACAGCCTCACAGACTACTCCATGATCCTAAAATTTTCTTTGTTTCCCCAGAAGATACAGCGCCCCCCTCCAGCAGGAAGTAGTAAGAGAAGCTACGCCCAAATTCCCAAATATACCAAGCTGACTTTGGAGATGTGTAAAGGTTAAAACCTTCCTTTTTAAGAAAAGAAAAGGGGAAGTGCTGTGGGATGGTCTGTATGTCAAATGTGTTGCTGATTGGTCAATGAATAAATCACTGATTGGTCAGTGGCCAGGCAGGAAGTATAGGCGGGACTAAGAGAGAGGAGAATTGAGAGAACAGGAAGCTGGGTGGGAGAGACACTGCCAGCCGCGATCAGGACAAGGAAGATGTAAAGTACCGGTAAGCCACAAGCCACGTGGCAAGGTATAGATTAATAGAAATGAATTAATTTAAGCTATAAGAACAGTTAGCAAGAAGCCTGCCACGGCCATACAGTTTGTAACCAATATAAGTCTCTGTGTTTATTTGGTTGGGTCTGAATGGCTGTGGGACTGGCGGGTGTCAGAGATTTGTCCTGACTGTTGGCCAGGCAGGAAAACTCTAGCTACAAGGGTGACCTTTGGAAAACATGTGTGTGATCTGGGCGTAGTAGCAAAGATGCTTATAATTCCTGATAAATCAGGAAAGTGACTCCAAGGCCAGCCTGAGCTATGTAACAAATTCAAGTCCAGAATGAGCTTATATAGAGAAACTTTGTCTCAAAATAAGTAAAATAAGTCAAAAATCTAAAAATAAATATTAAATCTAATCTTACCAGACATGTATTTAGAATAAACATGTTTCAAAATGAATTGCTAGTAGGATTTCTGGGAGGTCTTGGCTGTTGTTTCTCTAGCCTGATCACATGCTAACCAGGCCTTTATTGTCCTTTTCTCTGCAGTCATGCTGTTCTTTCTGTGATACAGCTCGTTTACTTCTGTCTGGAGACCTTGGTACTCACTGTTCTTGTCCGTCTTAGAATATTCTTGCTCCTCCTTTGAGTTGACCAACTCTTACTCATTTTGTTTTGTCTCACTTTAAGTGATCAGTTCATCCAAAAGACTCCTAAATTGTCTCATTCAGAACATCCTGCACTTTATAGCATTTCTATATCTTTTTTGTTTAATTGTCTGTTTTCCTCAGTAAGCTAGGTACCTTACAGGAGCACTGTCTGTTGGTATCAATTATTCACAGTATGAGTACATTAGGTTTTCATGGTTTCTGGTAAGTTACTCTCCAAATTGATCACTTTTTACTGTATATGATGTTGGTTTTGGTATGAGCTTATCTTATTACATGATATAAATGTTTTATAATTTTATAAGAAAACTCATTTGGAATTATTTTATGGAAGCTTGAAAACCCTTTTACATATTTATAGGCTAATTTTATTTTGTATTCTCATTTTTTTTTTAAAGATTTATTTATTTATTATGTATACAGCATGTATGACTGCAGGCCAGAAGAGGGCACCAGATCTTGTTACAGATGGTTGTGAGCCACCATGTGGTTGCTGGGAATTGAACTCAGGACCTCTGGAAGAGCAGTCAGTGCTCTTAACCTCTGAGCCATCTCTCCAGCCCCGTATTCTCATTTTTTATGTTTGCTAACAAGAAAGCTTCACATATTAAGGTTACTCTGTCATATAATTTTTTTCATAATTTTCTTAGTATATCAGATGGTTTCTCTGCTTCTCATTGCCTATCACATAAAGCCCTTCTCTAATACCTCAAATGTTCTTTTAAAATCCCCTTTGTTCTCTCTTTATTCCAGGACTGTTGCATGCGAAGTTTTTTGTTTTGTTTTATTTTGTTTTCTTCTGCATATAGAATAGTGGTTCCAACACTATTTTCATAATTTTATTTCATAAATATTATAGGATATTTTGATAACTAGGACATACTAATTCCAGAGACTCTGTTCCTAACCTATACCTGCCTCTGTGTGTGTGTGGTTACTTGTTAGTATGTGTTTGTTCATATGTGTGCACATTTGGAGGCCCAAGGTCAATATTGTACATCTTTTGTTGGTTGATGTCCACTTTTATTTTTTGAGATACAGTCTCCCTCTGAACCTGAAGCTAATTGATTCAGCTAGACTGGCAGGCCGTTGAATTTCAGGGATTCCCCCCTGTCTCCACCTTCCCAGTGCTGGCGTTATAAGAGAGCATCACTGTCCTTGACTTTTTACATATGTGCTAGGGATATGAACTGAGATCCTCATGCTTGCATAGCATTACTTTACCCACCGAGCCATTTCCTCTTTTCTTTTATGCCTTTTAATACTCATTAAAATACTTATCACCATATATTAATTTTAGTCAGTGAAATTGACTGACAATCCCTTGTTGCATTGGTTACTTTTCTCATTGCTGTGATAAAATAACAGACAGAACTAACTTACAGAAAGTCAAGACTATTTGGGCTAACAATCTGAAGGGATAATCCATGGCAAGGAAGGTATGTGATAGGAGCGTCAGGCCGCAGGGTGTCCAGTCAGGAGGCAGAGCAAGAAATGTTGCTGCATAGCTTACTTTCTCCTGTTTATTCAGTCTAACTTAAGCTGGGTCTTCCCACCTCATTTAACCTAGTGTAGAAAATCCTTCACAGACATGCTCATAGATCTGTCTCCAAGGTCATTCCAGATCTTGTCAAGTTGGCAATCAATGTAGGCCATCACAAGTCTGCCCATTGTCAATGTGATATCCAAACAGATCACTTTTAAGCTAGAACCTTCCACTCTTTGTCCCCATGGGCTTGTGGTCATCTCATAATGCAAAATACATTAAGTCTAACTTCAAAAGTCTCCATAGTCTTTAACAGTTCCAACGTTGTTCAAAAGCGTAAGCTCAGAGTCTTTTCTGAGGTGTGAGCAATCTCTTTAAGTGTGAGTCCCTGTACAATCAAAAAGAAGTACATACAGTTGATGGCACAGACTATATTCCCACCCCAAAAGGAAAGAATGGGGCATAGTAAGGAAAGTTTATACCAAAGCAAGACCAATGCTACAGGAAAATACTAAATCTTGTAATTCTGGGTCAGACAGCTGGGCTCATGATGGAATTATCTGGGCTCTAAAGAGCTTGCATAGCTCCTTTCCTCCAGCTCTGCCACTTGGAACACACTTAGTCTCTCTCTTGGACTGGTCTGGTATATGACAGTGCTTTCCTTTGTAGACTTACCATGGTCCTAGCATCTCCAACATCCTTGAGTTTCCATTTCAACTTAGGCTTCACCCTCCCAGTTTCATACAAGTGGCCCCAGAGAGCCTTCTTACAGGGAATCTGACCCTGCCACATACTACCTGTCCTCGGTTGCCTTCTGGAACCTATGCACATGCCTCTGTGACCCTTTCACTCTTTCATCCTTCATGCCAAGTTCTCCTACCAGGTCAAGATGAAGCCCATCCCCTTTGGAATATTGCTGCTGTGGTTTCTGTCTGCTTAGAATATTTTTCTGGATAGGAAACCCCGTTAGTGGCATTTTTAGTTCAGGCTCTCTCTTTTCAAATGATTTTGTATTTTCACAGAATCTCCAGTGTAAGAGTTCTTGTCCTCAGAACTTCTTCCTAATCCCTCTAACTTTATAGTTCATATACTTTTCTTCACCAAACCCAATCCATATCTCTTTGATCTTTTACCATAGAACTGAATGAAAACAGTGAGCAATAGTCATGGCACAACTTGAATGCTATGCTCTCTTGAAATTTCCTCCACCAAAGCAATTAGTCCACATGGACTCCCAGCTGCTGTGATTACACCCATAAGATCAAACTAGCCAGAATCCCAGCATAAATGGGGGAGGGGCTATGAAGTCACACCCATAGCTGAGGAGCTGTTTTGGTAATTTGTCACTATAGGGGTAAGGAGAGGGGTTTTCTTCAAGGACATGACCCCCGACAGGCTACCCATACTCCCATGGATGTTCCTACTTCCATGTACATACAGGGAGCACTAAGTGGACTCAGTGGATGTAAGAAAAAAAGCTCATGAAGTTGTGAGGAAGAAGTGGTGGAAAGCATAAGGGAGGAATTAAAGTGAATGAGGGATGGATTTGACCAAAACCCATTAGATATATGTGAAATTCTCAAGCAATAAAGAAGAAAGGAAGTTACATATGAAATCAAAGTCTTATCTAAGTTTACATATGTTGTGTTTACAATAAATAAATTAATTAAAGTAGTCCAATACCTTTAAATTCAGCATTGTTCAACTTCTCAGGACTTGGGCAGAGTATAGCCAGATTCTTTGCCAGCATGAAGCAAGCTTGGCTTCTGTCCCAGATCCTTATAGTGCCCTTGATCCCCTCTGAAACTTCGTGAGTTGGTCCTCCATATCTGTGTTTCTCTCCATATTCTTGTTTTCTGAACTCCCAGAATGGTCCATTAAGCTTTGCTTGTAGCAGATGTAGGGCCTCTCTAGGCCACAGTTTTAAAGAGCCATGTGGTCAGGTTTGTCACAATAATGATCCCACTTATACCAGATTTCTACATTAGTTATTTTTCTTGTTGTCGTGATAAAATACCTGTGGAAAGCAGTTTAAGGGAGAGAGGATTTATCCTGGCTCACAGTTTTGTCTGAGGGTGTAGTGCCTCATGGCAGGAAGACATGGGACAGTTGTTGACATTGTGGCTACATCAGCGAGCAGAGAGTAGTAAGTGCTTCCATTCGGTTAGCCTTCTCCTTTAAATGCACACTACAACCCCAGCCCATGGAATTTTTTATACCTCAGTTAACACAATGCAGAAAATCCCTCCCAGATGTGCCATAGATTTATTTCTACGGTGATTCTTGATGCTGGGGAGTTGGCAATCAATAGGGACTGTCACACATCTTCTCATCTTACCTGGTAGTCTTTTAGCCGCACACTGCCAACATGTAGTGTGGTCTCAGTAAACCAGGAACCAGCCAGTAAGTTGCGAATACTCTAGAATACTGTTATTGGGAAGCAGTGGGTGCTTTGTGAAGCATTAAGTCTTTCTGCTTTCTATAGTAACTGATGTTAATTGATAATGAGATAATTGATTTTAATCAGCAATGTGGAATAATTTAATCCTGTTCTCTTAGAAACATAAAACTTGACAGATCCTTTGTGAATTCTTATTATTTTATTTTTTGAGATTATAATATAATTACATCAGTTATCCCTTTCCTTTGTTCCCTCTAAACATTCCCACTTGCTCTCCTTTCTTTCAAATTCATGCCTTTTTTTATTAATTGTTGTTACATACATTAATTGTCATTACATACATTTGTTATGTGTGTGTAATCATATATATTCTAACTAAACGCTGCTTAGTCTGTATAATGTTATTTGTATTTAGGTTTTCACAATTACCACTTGGTATTGAATAACCAGTTGGTGTGCTCTTTCTTCCCTGGGAAGATTTATTCATCCCACTCTTAGCATTCCTTAGTTACCGCTTGCTCTTTGTGTAGGGTTGAAACTTCATGAGCTTTCCTTTGTCCACATTAGCATGCCTATTGTTGTTGTTCTTGTTCAGCTCATGTTTGTGCAGTCAGATTAGTGAGACTTTATGGGTATAGCTTCTGACAATCCTAGGAGACACAACCTCACAGCAACTCTTTGATCCTCTGCCTCTTATAATCTTTCTCTCATTCCTCTCCCCACTCCTCCCCCCTCCCTCATCAACAGTGATCCCTAAGCCTGTAGGTGAGGAGGTTATATTGTAGATGTATCCCTTAGGAATTGGCTCTAAACTATGCATTTGATTCATTGTGGTTTTCTGTTGCAAAAAGAAGTTTCTTTGATGAGAAGTGAGGACTACACTTGACTCTGAGTATAAGGAAAGTTGCTATCATGCCATGACGTTCATGCCATGACGTTCATTGTCATGGTTCATAGGCATCATAGCTGAGTTGGACTGGTGATCGCTTCTCTTCTTTGGAAGCTTTCATGGCATCTTCTGGAACCATGGAAGCTAGTCCTCAAGGACAAAACTTTCAAATCAGTTCTAGTTCAGGGGCTTCTGAGCCTTGTGTCTTAAGTGCAAGGTGTCTCATAGCAATAGAGATTCAAAAGTAATAACACTAACTTAACCCTGACCAACAACTCAGAAAGGGACTTCTCATACCTGGTGTTGAGATTTTTGTTAGATCATCTTTGGCTCTTGGAGGGAGCATTGTCAGCCCAGATGGGAAAATTTCTTTTTTTTTTTTTGGTTTTTTTCGAGGCAGGGTTTCTCTGTAGCTTTGCGCCTTTCCTGGGACTCACTTGGTAGCCCAGGCTGGCCTCGAACTCGCAGAGATCCGCCTGCCTCTGCCTCCCGAGTGCTGGGATTAAAGGCGTGCGCCACCACCGCCCGGCGGGAAAATTTCTTTTAAACTATGTATATATGTATATTTATATACACATGTATTACAGACTTTTGAACTGTAACGCTTAGCATTTATTGTATGAAGTAAGCAAACAATAGAGAATAAATTTAGAAATTCATAAAATAGCAAGAATATAAATACAGCTACTTGAATACTTTGTAATTTTACACCTGCTCTTAATAACTTACTGTAATGCAAAATAATTTGTGTTGAAGTTAAAATCTGAGACATAATAGTATTTAGTGCTATTATCATTTAAAATGTCTGATTTATAGAACTCTAAATATTTTTATTTTTCTCACTGTTTTTATAGGAGGTTCGTAAAGTAAATGAAAGCATTAAGTATAACCACCCATTGAGAAAATGTGTTGATACAATACTTAAAAAGGTAATCATATTGTAATATTTCCTCTATTTCTTATGAATATGTCTTATATTCTACTATAAATTAATCTTTCATAAGAAAAGTATGATAAAAAGCATATGATTGAGGTTTTCCAGATGCATTCTCAAATAAATCTTTACCATAAACACAGAGTAAATTATATGTAGAAATTTTCTTATGCTGTTGTAAGTTTGGTGGTAATTATTGACAGCACTTTCCCTTGAAATGTGAAGATAGCAATAATGTTGAGTAACTTGCAATTATTTCATGGTATGGTGCCGGAGGTACATCTTTGCTGTACCATCGTGTGTTATCATTAAAGGCTCTCTCCTGTAGGAAAGTAAATGGAGGTCTCAGTAATTCTTGCAATCAGCTTCTCGCATGTAATTTTATGATATGTGTTATGAAATAATTACATGGATATTTAATAAATAAGCCATATTGCTATGATTTTGATGGAACTGTACTGAATTGCAAGTGTATTTCTATGCTTCTAAAATAATTATTTGAACAATTCCACAATTACCTTTATATACCCAAGTTACCACTGAATTTTTTCTTCTCCTGTATTCTAAATCTGTTCTACTGGTTACTATTAGCTACTGTTCCTCTAGTTAAAGTTATAGTCATAAATTTTCTAACCATTTCTCTCATATTTGCTATTTTTTTTTTTTTTTTTTTTTTTTTTTTGGTTTTTCGAGACAGGGTTTCTCTGTGTAGCTTTGCGCCTTTCCTGGGACACACTTGGTAGCCCAGGCTGGCCTCGAACTCACAGCGATCCGCCTGCCTCTGCCTCCCGAGTGCTGGGATTAAAGGCGTGCGCCACCACCGCCCGGCCAATATTTGCTATTTTTGAGACCTATTTAGGAAGGTTAATGAACTTGCACAACTCCATATAGGTAATAACTAACTGGCAGTATGGCAGATAATCCTAATTATATATTTCTTTCTGCATACTGTGGCTTTCAGAACTTTTGCATGTTAAATTTTTCATGATTCTTCTTTATTATTTAGGAAAATAATTGAAGTTTCATCAGGTGCCTATTATTAGAATAATCCTCTCAAATAGTTGTTACTTCATGTAGGTAAGCTCCCTTGCCTTTCCCAGTCTCCAGCTAGTATATCTAAGCATAAAGAGAAATATTAGTAGAAGTAAGAAGAAACTTAACATACTTTTGAAATGTTTTTTTGAAAATGTTAGCTAGTGAAAAATCTAACAATTAGAGATGTCAATAAAAGAAGAAAATATTTTTGAGAAAATTAAGTTTTTCCAGAATGAAAGATTTTTAATGAAAATAAAATTGTATTAAAGATTTGTTAAATTTTTACTAAAGGTTTATTAAATTTTATAAAATGTTTTTCTTTTAGTGCCCTACAGATTATCAGGAAAAGATGGGTAGAAATATGGATGATTATGAAGATTTTGATGAAAAGCGTAATACCTACCCAAGTGAAAAAAGCTTGGTAAAATTGCATAAACAGGTAACCTTAATTATTAATTGTAGCTATTTTGCACACAATTAGAGGACGCGAATTAGATTTATAATTACTGCTCAGATAAAAAGACTGTGTGTGGTGACTTAGCAGTTAAACTGCTTGCAGCTGAAGTCTGAGGAGCTGAGCTTAATCTCCAGCACCCATGTAAAAAGCCGGGCGTAGTGGTGTGCACCTGTTTCCAGTGCTCAGGGGCTGAGCTAAGCGGACCACTGGCCACGCTGGTTAGCTTAATCTGTGAGAGCCAGGTTCAGTGAGAGACCGTGTGTCAAAAACTAAGGTGGAAATGGTTGGGGAAGACAGCTGATATTACTTTCTGCCTTCCACATGCCCACAATCATACATTCGAGCATCCCCATCCCCAAACATGTATGCATGCAAATGCAGTATATATCCAAAACTATTGATCTTGTTCCTATCATTGTTGAAATGTTTGTGTTTCTGGACAAGGATACTCTTGGCAATTGGTTATAAGAATTATACCTGTTCTATTATGAGGAAGAATTTTGTCATTTCAGAACATTAACATCCTTGACCACATTTAGAAAATGCCATTAGTAATACTTTATTAAGACAAAGACAAACAACCTCCCATTCTCTAGTAGAAAGTTGACCCACTATTCAATCATACTGACAGGCTTATCCCTCTTCTGTTTTTAAGGTTATTTATTCAGTTCAAAGACACCGTCGAACTCAAGTGCAGTGGCAAATTCTTTTGGAACAGGCATTCTATCTAGAAGATGTAGCAAAAAATGAAACTAGTGCAACTCATCAATTTGTTCACACCTTTCAGTCACCTGAGCCAGAAAATCGATTTATCCAATATTTTTATAATCCTACAGTTGGTATGTAGTTTGACATAAATTCCAAAGTTGATGATTTTTCTACAAGAAAAATGTATGTTTCATCAATATAATACTGACTTTTATTTGTATATTGATTTGCTCTATAGGGTAATATTAGATATCTGATAAACTTACCCCAAAATAATTGTTTTACTTCTAATTCTCTTTTTCCCAGAAGTCATTGGTTGCTTGAAGTTCATTGTCTAGGGGTGGGACCCCAGAACATTTTCCCTCTTCTAAGTTAACATGTCCTTTGATATTACCATTGTTCCAGTCTTGTTGATATAGCCATTTATAGGAAAGATTGTTTACCAAGGACTTCCTGGTATTCTGGTTTTTACAATCTTTCTGCTTCCTCTTCCATGATGTTCCTGAACCAAAGATGTAGGAGCTGTGATATTAAAAAAAAAAAAAAAATTTACAGATTAAGTATTCACTAACAATGAATCTCACTATAAATGTGTATCATGGCTTGGACTATTGATAGTATAAATAATTAGCTATACTTTAAAAACTAAGTATTCTGAATATTAACAGAAATTTCTACAAATTCATCAACAGTATTTAAAATATTGTCTCCATAATATTTGGTAGCATTTTTCTCAACACAATGATTATTTTAAAGGGTTTTTTTTGAAGTTTCTTAATATATTTATGCCTATGATTTTAAATATGTATACACATACAAAATATAATTATAAACCAATTTGCATATATGATCAAACATGCTTAGAGACCAAAAATGAATAAATGAATAAATACTAAAAAGAAACAGAAAAGGGTAATAGCTGTGGTCAGTGGCGAGGTGTGTGTGTGTGGGGGGGGGCTTGAAGGTAGCTTATAACTGGAGAATAATATCATAGAGCTGGAAATTACTGAAGCCATAGGGAACTCTGGAGCAATATTCACAGATAATGGAGATGAGATGGAAAATAGTGAACAATGAGCAGAATGGCCTTGCATTAGGAGGTGAGACAGACAGACATATAGCTTTAGTGTAAGTGAGAAAATGTAGTAAAAATGTTGGTAAGTCATCTGACTGTTTATACTCTCTTAGGAATGTACTGACAATAAATACGGAGAAGGAGAGTTTTCAAGAAGGTACTAAATAGTCACAGGGAAATGGAGAATTACAGGAAGTTGTCCAGCTGTGCTAAGGGCCTGTTTGAAGTGGGCATTAGTTTAAAGTGAGAATAGTCAGTAAAGATGGGTCTTTCATCTGCAGTGTACATGTATACAGACTCAGAGTACCCAAGGAGTTGGTCAAACAGGGTGGTTTAACCAAATATATACAGTGAAGCAAGAGAGGGTAATGGAATTGGGACTGGGGAGTAGTTATCCTCAAAGACTGTGGAATCTGAGCTGGGAAAGGAAGGAAGGACATTCAAATTGTTCAGTAACAGTAAAGAGGTAAAAGAATAAGTGTTGTGTTTGTCCTGATAGTATGATTGGATGCAGATGAAGGTACTGCTTGGGCATGAGGATGATGGGATTGGGCTACATAGAAAGATTGCTGTTGTTAGCAATAAGAGGTTTAGGAATGAGTTTAGGACCATTGGAATGAGTAACCAGGTTAAAGAGGGCTATTAGAAGATGAGCTCATTCATTAGAAGGGAGGAGATGAAGGCAATGAAGAAAGAGTTGTCTGGGCGGATGTTTAAATAATCAAGAATTACACTGAGGGTACAGTGGAAAAGACAGTGAGCCTGGACCTTAGCTTTTCAATAAATGAAGTGAAACTATAGCCTTGTTGCAAGCTGTAACTCAGTGGTAGATATGTTAAGGGCACACTAACCCTGGGTTTTGTCTTCAATGGAATGGATAGAGATCTCTTTCAATTGATTGAGCTTTCTTTGAACCTTTATTTTTTAATGAAATTCAGACAATGAAACCAGAACTTCACAAACTATTTTCATATAATGAGGTTCTTCATATGTTAACATTTTATTAGATTAATTTGCTTTCTTTCTCTACATACATTTTTCCTTAGTCTTTCAGACCTGTATCTATCTATACATGAGGCCTTTTGTCCCCTAGGAATTTCAATGAATACTTCCTAAAAATACAGTTTCTCAAGTGTAACTCTAAAATAATTAGAAAATTAACATTAATAGTTTACTATTACTTACATACCTTATGCATATTTTGCTTAATTATGACATTGATATTCTTTAAAAATCTAAAGCCCACACACTGTATTCGGTTGTCATATTTCTTAGTCTTTTAAATAAAATCTGGAACAGTTCTGTCCTATGTGTTTTAGCCTCTGTGTGTTTTATAACATTGATGTTTATGGACAGCATAGACTAGTTCTTTACTGATTGTTCCCAAGTTGGAGTTTGCTATGTCCTCATGATTAGATACAGTTTATGTATCGTTTGCAGGAATACCACAAAGGTGGTGATGTGCTCTCCTCAGTTACATCAGAGCAGGAAGCACGTGGGATATCAGTTTGTACACTGCTGTTGGTTATTTTTTGCTACCTTTCTCTGTGTTGACTGATTGGCTGCAAGTTCCAAAGATTATAAATATGCTAATTGTGTTTTTCTTGTATTTTCCAGAATGGTACTGGGAATGCCTGTTGCGGCCATGGTTTCACAGGATCCTTGCTGTGGTTTTGTCCATCTTCTCTGTGATCGTTGTCTGGTCAGAGTGCACCTTCTTTAGCACGACTCCTGTCTTATCTCTCTTTGCAGTCTTCATACAGCTGGCAGAAAAAACATACAATTATATTTACATTGAGGTCAGTTTTTTCATATTGGTCATAAATATGTATCAGTTCATGCAGAAACTTTAACTGTTGTATCTTTCCCCATATATTTCTTCTAGTAAGAATGAAAATAGTGGAGTTTCCCAAAGTGCTGTTATTCAGACTTCCAAAACTGATGTTCATCAATTTACCCAGACTATAAATACTAGGAGCTGTAGTTAAAGATCAATGAAAAAGTATAGGATAGTGAATAAGCATTTTATGAGGTTACTTTGATCCTCTTTTGTCAATGAAACTATGTAACTTACTGTCTTCCTGTAGAATTGTCAAGAGAACAGGTAAATAGTTTCCTTCAGGGCCCAGAGTCAAAATTTGGATTTTAAGAGGTTGAACTGGTTGAAATGTAGATTTATTTCCAAAATTTCATCTCAGCTACTAAAAAAAGACACTATTGTATTTATATTTATATTTTAGAACATCAGTAAATATAGCTGTGGCAAATGATAATTCTTGTGGCAGTAAATAAAGTAATAAAGTCTTAAATCAAGTTTTAACTATTTTTCCAGATTGCTTGCTTCCTTTCCATCTTCTTCTTAAGTATCTGTGTTTACTCTACTGTGTTCAGAATTCGAGTATTTAATTACTACTACTTGGCTTCACATCATCAGACTGATGCTTACAGTCTTCTTTTCAGTGGCATGTGAGTAGAATTGAGCTTAGAAAAAAAGAAATGTTTCCATTTTAAATGCTAATTATAGCTCTCTTATTTTTTGTTTATGGATGTTGCATGAACATACATTTCTGTGAGCTAATTGATTTTTTTTTTTAACTATCGGATGAGTATTTGTGATCACCAGCTAAATTTTGCTTGAAGTTTATGACTAAATTACGAATGCTATGTTAGGGAAAAAGACACGGCGATTTACCATGGATTTACCAATTTGAAACTGGGTATATGAACAATTGAGAGGTTAGAGGCTATGTTAGGTGTAAAGAGTGTTCTAAAAGTCAGTGGTCTAAAACTGAATTGAAGTTCTAAGAACACTAAAAGGAACATTTCTTTCCTAGAGAAATTTAGAGGGCTGGCTTTAACTATATGTAATCAGTCCAGGCTACTTATTATTAGTCAGGTATATTAGGTATTTATAAGGGCTAGACCTAGGGAAGTTCAAAGTAATGTCTGGTGTCAAAACTTTGTCTTATAAAAAAAATCAAAACTACTGGGTCAGTTTCTTGTGGCTGTTACAAAATACCTGCCACAGACTACTTGGGGGAAAAAATATTTATTATGTCTAATGGTTTCAGAGACTTTAGTATACCATTACTTGGTATTGATTGTTTTGGACCTGAAGTGAGACTATACATGGCAAGGAGAGTGTATTGGAGCAGAGCTATCCACCTTATGGTACCTTGGAAGCAAAGACAGACTAACAGAACCCCAAACATGGTATCTTTCCTTTCATAACACTGGGTGACCTGCTTCTTCTAGCTAGGCTCTACCTCCTAACTGTTACACCATCTCCTAAACCAGAGCTACCCAGTGAAGGTGAACCCTTCATCAAATGAACCTGTGACATTTGTTTCATATTTAAGCTATAGCATGAATTTTTGGAAAGTTACAGATACACTGTGTAACCTTGCTCTAGCTTTTCCTCATGGTGACGTCATCTGTAGTTGCTGTACAATACCAAACTAGGAAATTTACACTGTGTATTACTGTTAGCAGCACTGTAGACTTTAATTAGTTCTTACATTTCATCCTTCATTTGTGTGTAGATTTCTACAGCTGTCACCACCAACACAGAGCTTTCTCTCACTACAAAAGAACCCTTGTCAATATTACCTACTTATATTTAAACTTTTTCAGTTTTCCAGCCCACAGTTGTCCAACCATAGCAATGTAAGATACTCATTTTATAATTGATCTTAGTCAGAATGCTGAAAGCAGGCACCCTGAGGCTGCAGTTAAGTATATAGGCACTCATGTTCTTAAAGGAAATGTGATTAATAGGATTTTAGAATGTGTCCCCAGTAAGGGCAGTTCACATAGATAATTAAACTATATATAATATGCAAATAGATAAAAATTATAGCTACAATGATCTGAAATGTTTTTAATACATTTCACTATAATATAAAATATATTTCATTATATTTAAAATATATATGTTAGTGCTTTTAAATGTTTATTGTAGGTTATTTTGCCGTTTGACTCCCCCTTTATGTCTTAACTTCTTGGGATTGACCCATATGGATTCATCCATCTCTCACCAGAATACCCAGCCAACTGCATATACATCTGTAAGTATGGCTCTTTAGGTTCATTATCTATGTCAGGTGGTGTTATGAGTCATCTTCTATTGTCAGTAGACAAGCTCTGTAGCATTATTGAACTCCTTTTTTATCACTAAAACCTTTGCTTAAAGGTTATACATGTAATTACTAATGATGGGGTTAAACTGATATTATAAAAATTGTTTTTTCTTCATATTGTTTACTTAGATGTGCTGCATTAAAAACCTGCCTCATATTAGCATTAGCATTTATATGTATAATCTTAGTGCCTCTGGTTTTGTAGTAGTTATAAAATACTAGATTTCTTTAGAAGAAAGCCTTAACAGGAAGAAGTTTAAGAAATGTATACTAAGTACTTTGTTTCTAAATTTTGAAATGTGTAATTTGTTGATATAACTTCCTGTGGGTAAACTTTCTAATGATGGGAAGGAATGAAAATATGTAACTATGCTGATTTAACTCTTCTCTTGCTCTTCAGATCATGGGTTCCATGAAAGTTTTATCCTTTATTGCAGATGGATTCTATATATATTATCCTATGTTGGTGGTAATTCTCTGCATTGCTACGTACTTTAGGTAAGAAACTCTACTTTTTCTCATGCTCTTAGTTGGGTATAGATATTCTTTCCCCTTAAAACTCCATTGAGTATTTACTGGCTTGGTTTTAGTTTGTAATTTGGGAGGTTATGAGCACTTGGATAGTTTGAAAGGCCCTTTTTAGTGTTTGAGTCATTCTGTTACAGTTATGTAGGCTACAGAGTGATAAGATTAATTACAGGATGGTAACTCTAAAGTCCTGGGCTGTGACAATGACAACCAGCATGGTTTATAATACCCCTTTACATCTAGCTTCTTTACAGTAACACAACTTAGTCTCTTGGCTTTTCCCATAATTGTTGCTGGTTTTCTAAATCCTGCAGATGATAGCCAACACAAATGGTCAGGTGAGGAGCACTTATAATCAGGAAGTACGTATAAAGTCGTAAGAAAAATGCTTCTCTTTGCCTAGAAGGTGCACAGGCTACTCTTCTTGTGGGCTCAAAGAAGCTTATAGAATCTTGGCAAAGGTAAGATTCAAAAAGGTTAAAGCTATTACAGTAATGAACTCATACCAACCATAGTTACCCACATAAGACCTATACAAGATCAAGCCAGCAATAGTTCCTACAGAAATGGGGATTGATCTGCAGGCGCCACCCCTTCCTGAGGATCAATTGACAGTTGATAGGAGCTCTGGAAGGGAGATATTCTTCTTCAAGGCTGAGGTAGGTTTCCCATGTTCCAGTGGCTGGCCCTACATCTTGCATATATGGGAAGCACTCATTGAACTTAGTGGATTATTGTTTTAGAAAAAGATGTAAAGTTAGGTGGGGAGGTATTAGGAAGTATGGGGACAGTTGGAGGGAGAAAGTAGAGATTATATATAATCATATTCATTGCATATATAGATGAAAATCAATAAAAAAAATTTAATGGAAAGATATGCTTGCCTTAGCACCCTGTCTCTTTACTTTCTCATACACATTTCTCACCCTTGTACTCTTTCTGCCCCTTCTTACTGCTGCAGTGTCTCAAGATATGTCCAAATTTATAAAACATTTCATTAATATAAATTAATTTGCTTTTTTATTGAAAGTAGGTTTTATTAACTTTTATTTAAATGTTACATTTTTAGTGCATAAATATTTTAAATAACATATTAACATACTAATATTAGAATAATAAGCAATCATGTTGTTTAAATTCTCTACCAAGTTAAAAAATTTTGCTTTTTGATAAATAAAATAACTAAAAGATTATACCCTAAAACAAGACTTAGCTGAGCATCATGTGTAGTTGGAGTTTTCTCCAGCCCCGCTTGGGCTCACAGCCACTCAGACCCAAGTAAATACACAGAGACTTAATATTACTTATAAACTGTATGGCCATGGCTGGCTTCTTGCTATCTAGTTCTTATATCTTAAATTAACCCATTTCTATTGATCTATAAGTTGCCGTGTGGCTTGTACTTACCAGTACTTTACATCTTACTTCTCATGGCGGTGGCTGGCAGTGTCTCCTTACTCAGCCTTCCACTCCCAGCATTCTCCTCTCTGCTTGTCCACCTATACTATACTTCCTGCCTGGCTACTGGCCAATCAGCATTTTATTTATCAACCAAATCAGAGCAACATATTCACAGCATACAGAGCAATCGATGTCCACAGCAATCATGGCACATGTCTATAATCCCAGGGTTTTGTAGGCTAAAGCAGGAGTATCTCAAGTTCAGAATCAGCTTGGGCTATAGCAAGACTCTGTTTCAAGAGAGAAACATAAAGTAAAAGATAAAATATTAATACGATTAATATTAATAAAAATACTAATACAAGCTGACACTAAAACTATTGTTTTGAGTTTTGCCTTTAAGGTAGAAAAAAACAATAGCAGACTTTATATGTTTAATGCTGTTTTGATTCTATGTTTTCTCATTTAAAGGTTTTATAAGTGTTAATGGAACATCATGAACTTAAGTACGTCTTTTCCTGTTAGTTGTCATATTGAGAACATTATAGCATTTTGAGATTAAATGGCTCTATGGCTCAAAATAATATAAATTAGGATAATGCTTTGTCAAATATAAAATCCTAATATAAGAAATCAGAAAGAAGATTGTTGAAAAATAATCATTATTGGGCTGGATATGTAGCGCAATGACATTGCATAGAATGCCCAGCACCTTAGATTTGATTCCCAGCACACACACACACACACATACACACACACACACACACACACACACACACACACACACACACACACATCACAAAAGAAGAAAATGCATTAAAGGTTTCTTTCTAAGCTGGGAATGGTGGTGTGGTGTATGTTGTAAAGGAGCATCAGGAAGATCCTGCCTTTTGAGAGCAGCCTGAGCTACATAGTGATGTTAATGTGCTAATGTGAGTTTGTTTCAAGGAAAGGGGGAGCTTTCTCAAAGACATACATACATTCTTCTTACATAACATGTATTCTGAGCTAGCCAGATATTTATACATTTCTTAGTATGAATCAGAAATTTTCACTTTAACAGCTGTTTTCCTTTCTTCACGCACAAATCTTTCTCCAGCCCTTCAGATGTGTTTCTATACATATAAGGGATAAATATTTATTTCTTAGGGTTATGCAAGAGGTAAGAATTAAATATGAGTGAATTGTCTGGTCCACAGTAGGATCTTAGCAGTATGAATCCTGCCTAGCCATCTCTTGCTTCCTCCCTGTGTGCCATATTTTTAAATTACTCTTATCCTATATGACAATCAGATTAAAATGCCAACTAACATTTCAAGTAATTAGCCTACAGATAGGATATAATGGCCATTTACAGTATATAAGAGAAACTGTTTCATTCTTGAGGGAAAACAAAGCATAACATTCAAATTTGTATAATTGAGATTTTTCTAAGCCAAGCGGGGTGTCTCAGGCTTGTAATCATAGCACTTGAGAGACTGAGGGAGGAGGGTCACCATGAGTTTGAGGCCAGCCTAGTCCATATAATGAATTCTAGGACAGCCTGAACTTCAGAGTAGCGCCATGTCTCAGAAACCAAAAGCTTCTCTATACAAGAAATCTCTGTATGTGGAAATGCTGATTTTTATATGTACTTTTTGGTATTATAACTGCTCCTTGGATATTTTAAAAAGAACAAGTTGATTTTATTATAGCCATTGCTTAGCATTCTGGTATAATTTTCTAAAGATGTGCTGATAGTTTTTCCAGTTCACTTCTATACAAATATAAGTCTTACTCTATTGAGTGAAATATGCAACATAAAATTTGTTTTGTATTGTTTTGAGACAAAGTTTCACTGTAGCCTCAGCTGGCCTTAAACTCATAACAATCCTTCTGCCTCAGTCCACCAAATATTGCAATTATATGCATGAAACTTCATCCAAGGCTGGACATAAGCATTTTTAAAAGAAAGAGAAAGAAAGACCTTGTGAAGAATGACTAACTACATTACTGTGCAATTTGCCATGATAACTAATAATCATGGTTTCTGTGACAATGGTAAAGAACAATTTCTCAAAATAGTTACTAAGGAGCCGGGCGGTGGTGGCGCACGCCTTTAATCCCAGCACTCGGGAGGCAGAGCCAGGCGGATCTCTGTGCGTTCGAGGCCAGCCTGGTCTCCAAAGCGAGTTCCAGGAAAGGCGCAAAGCTACACAGAGAAACCCTGTCTCGAAAAACCAAAAAAAAAAAAATAGTTACTAAGGGAAATAATACTTACGTTTTGAAATCTGCTTTCATTAGTTTGGGAACCCGTTGTTTGAACCTGCTTGGTTTCCAGCAGTTCATGGGAGATAATGATATGACATCAGATCTAGTTGATGAAGGAAAAGAATTAATCAGACGAGGTAAGATTTGTCATTTTAAAATAAAAACGGGTTGATTTTAAGTGCTAAGACTCAAATACAAAATTAATGTTTACAAAATTTGCATGTAATTTTTATCCACTTTAAGAAACACAGCGGACCTTTTCCTTCCTACTGGGTTGCCTTGTCCAGCCTTAATATGAGGGGATGTGCCTAGTCTTGTTATTATAACGTAATATGCCATGTTTGGTTGATATCTCTTGGAGGCCTGCCCTTTTCTGAAGAGAAAGGAGAAATAGATCTGTGGGAGTCGGGAGATTCGAAAGGAGGGAGGGGAAACTGCAGTTAGGATGTAATATATGAGAGAATAATTAAAAAAATACATAATTTTGGTGATATTTTATTTGTGCTCAAACAAATAAAGCTTGCTTGGGGATCAAAGAACAAGCCAGCCACTATATTAAACATAGAGGTCAGGCAGTGGTAGCGCACGCCTTTAATCCCAGCACTAGTTAACCATAGAGGTCTGGAGGTCTGTATAGACAGACAGGAAGTGATAGAGCTGGGCGGAAAGAGGAAGTAAGATGGCAGGGCACAGAAAGGTATATACAGGAAGCAGCTCTCTCTTGGGCTGAGGATTTCCTAGCAGTAAGAACTTGTGGCTGGCTTGTTCTATTCCTCTGATCTCTCAGCTTTTACCCCAATATCTGGCTCCAGGTTTTTTATTAATAAGACCTTTTAAGATTTGTGTTATATCTCGAACAACACATAATAAACCATTTTTAATTAAAAAAAAGAAATACAGTGGTTTAACCTTAATATGTGTGTGTGTGTGTGCGCGCGCACGCGCGCAGTTTTCTTCACTAAAAAAAGTATTTGAAAATGTAATATAAGATTTATTGTGAAGAAATTCTGCAGCATAAATTACTAGTATATCTGCAACTAGGTAATAACCATTTATGATCTTGGAATTTGTGACAAAATCCCTGATATAGTTTGCAGGGAGGAAAGACAGCTTATTTTAATGCCCAGTTTTAGGGATTTCCATCTGTGGTCACTTGCCTTTCAACCAGTGTAATATATAAAGGAAGAGAGACAGCCAGTTTATCACATAGAAGCAATGAGAGACAGCCAGTTTATCACATAGAAGCAGAGAGACAGCCAGTTTATCACATAGAAGCAATGAGAGACACAGGGAAAGGCTGTGGTCTTAGTAATCTCTCCAGTCTCCCCCAGTGACTTAACTTCCTTCCACTAGGTCCTCCCTGTGAAGGCCCCACCACCCGCCAACAGAAGCACAGCCTGGAGATCAAGACGTTAGGGAATGTCCAAGATCCAAACCATAGTAGAGTTGTTTTGTCTTTGTCCTGGAACAGATTTGCCAAGTTCTAAACAACTATAAAGCTCATTAATTTAGAGTTATTAATTTGCTACTTTGAGGGAAATTATTCAATTTTTTTTTCCTTTTGGAATATAATGATCATTGGTATGAGAACGTGAGTACTATTAAAATACATAGGGCTTTCTGAAAACCCATTCACAAAGTAGAATGTATTATGCTTTCTTTTGTTTAAGCAATGGTAGGATGGGTGGAAAACCTTGATTTGGGGTCATTGCTTCATAGTCTCCAGAATCTAGCTTTCACATGCTCTCCTAAGAAAGTAGTGTCTATTGGATGTGATAATTCTACATTTGGCATTGCACCGCCTTCCTAATATTGGTAAGAATGGTAAGTTGGGAGATATTGAGAGAATGACTGATGAAATCACCACTCTGTAACTCTATCTTACGAGGATAGAGCCCCAATCCCTGCACATATAACATATAATGAAGAGCTTACACGAGAACAGAATTATATAGAAAGTATACGTTTAGCTTAGAAGAAAAGTCCAAACAAGAGTTGAAGCCACAGAAAAAGAAATTTCAGATCACTGTGAGGAAGGAGATCCTTTCACTAGAGGTAGACAGATTACAAAGCCACTCTAGCAAAACAGGAAACACTACCTATGTCATGAGGTGACCCGCAGGCCCTTTCTGACAGTAACCTATTGCTTCAATTTTGTAGTAAGCTGTAGATGTCATAGTCTGCTCTCCTTGCTTCAGTTACTCTATATCTAATTCAACCATATTATACTAAATTTGGGGCCATTTTTCTTGTCTTTAGAGAAAAGAAAAAGACAAAGGCAAGAGGAAGGTGAAAATCGAAGAAGAGTAAGTACAATATTTTATTAAATTGCTGTTAACTGAAATATCTAAGAAACACTATAAGAATCTTACTTGAAGTAAATGGTTGAAGATGAGAAGCAATAGGTGAATGGCAAAGGATGTTTTTTTCTCTTTAATGTGTATGTTTTGCCTGAGTGCATGTCCTTGTACCATGTGCATACCTGGTACCCAGAGTACACAAGAGGGCATTGGTCACCTAGAATTGGAATTACAGATGGTTAAGAATTGAACCCTGGTTACTTGGAAGAGCAACAAGTACTCTTAACTACTGAGCCATCTCTGCATCCCTGGATGTATTTTTTTTTTTTTTTCCTTTTTCGAGACAGGGTTTCTCTGTGTAGTGTCGTGCCTTTCCTGGAACTCACTCTGTAGTCCAGGCTGGCCTCGAACTCACAGAGATCCGCCTGCCTCTGCCTCCCGAGTGCTGGGATTAAAGGTGTGCGCCACCACCGCCCGGCCCCTGGATGTATTTTTAAAGAAGAGAAAATTTTAATCCTTTTACATATACACATTATCCTGTCAGATTTGTTCTTTTAAAAAGTCATTAATAACTTAATTTGAGTCCAACATTTGTCAGTTTGTTGACTGAATTATGTACACAATCACTGTTTATTCAATAAATGGATTCATGCAGGCTTGTTAATAAAGTAGTTTGGGTTGCTTTAAAATTAATATACTTTTTTAATATGGCATTTATATTTTCCTCTTTAATTTCTCTTGAGTCCTCCATTTTGTTGAGGCAAATCTTCTTTGAGAGGGTGAAAAAAAAAAAAGGAAAATCCATTACAATTTCTACAACATTTTAACATTGATGTATTTATCCTGGAAAGTAAGAGATGTCATAGTTGTCTTTATATGTTCTGGCATATGCTATGTAAAAGGAGATTTGTATATTAGACATGGTGGCGCATGCCTTTAATCCCAGCACAGAGGCAGAGACAGGCAGATCTCTGAGTGCTAGGTCAGCCTGGTCTACATAGCAAGTTCCAGACCCACTAGGGCATAGTGAGATAAGTAAGTAAATAAATAAATATTTTAAAAAGATAGATTTGTTCATTATTTCAGAAGATAGATTTGTTCTTTATTTCATAATTAGAACCAAACAGTAGACATTACTAGAAATAGCATTTACTTTGTATTAGGACAGTGGTTCTCAACCTGTGGGTCATGACCCCTGGGGGGGGTCAAATGGCCCTTTCATGGGTATTTCATATCAGATATTTACATTATAATTCATAACAGTAGCAAAATTTTAATTATGAAGTAACAATGAAAATAATTTTATGGTTGGGGGTCACTACAACATGAGGAATTTTTTTAAAGAGTCGCAGCATTAGGAAGGTTGAGAACCACTGTGTTAGGACTTCTAACTTCCACAGTTTACCAAAATTGTAATAGACTGACTACATAAACATAAAAAAATAATGTATTCAAAGTGCCAAAAGTTTCTGGCATGAATGTATCCCCGTTTGTACAAAACATTGGATAGGTATAATGCATAGAATCTCAGTTAATGAGATCATACTGTCTTTCTTGATAACTCCTAAGTCTATGTAAGTCAGGTTTATTGTACTTATATACAACCTTAATTTGTTATCAAAAATGTATTATCAGATCTCTAGTATTTGTAGCTTGCTCAAGTAAAAGTAAAGTTTTTTAACATAACTTTTACATAGTCAAAGTAAGCTTGCTATTCTAATATTTTTTGAAGTTTTAGATAGAATAATATGTTAATCTAATCATAACCAGCAAAATGTTTTTGTTAAAAATTAAAAGTTATAAAAATTGATTCTAAAGATGCTATTAAAATTCTACAGATTGCTAATGAATTTCTGATGAAAAATGGTTATAGTACCCTGCATATAGAACGTTGACAGTATAACTTTTAGTGACGTATTTGGTTGGGTTTCTGCTCTAGGAATGGAAAGAGCGTTATGGACACAACAGAGAGGACTCCACTAGGAACAGAAATGTTCATCCTGACCCCAAAGAGTCAAATTTCTCAGATACCACTACCAACTGGTGTAAGTAGCTTGTTTCCTAGTTTGCTTAGGAATTATTAGTGTTCGTGCTATATAGAAACCGAAACTATACCCATCTCTGGACTCGCAAATATGTCTACAGTGCCTTCCCTTTATCATAGTCCTTAGTGTGTACAAGGAAGGGGAAATGGGACATCAAATAAGTAGTTGTAAGTTATGAATCTAAATAACTAAATTATTTCCAAGGCATGTTCTAGGAAGGTACCTATTTCTCCTGTTTATCTTGATGTTTTTCTTTGCTTTTCTTCTTGTTGATGAAAGTTATTCATTTATTGTTATAAGTATTGGCTGACTCATATTCAAGTGCTTTCCCATGTATACAGTGAGAGAAAAGGAAATTTCTTGTTCCCAGGATGTTCCTAATTTAGAGAAGGACTGAAGTCAGGTATCAGTCCTCTACCAGTGGTGCAAGTGAGGATACCTCTGTGTGGTACTGACATGAACGAGGAAGAAACAAGCCCTTTGCCTTAGAAAGGTGCCAGGTGCCGGGCGGTGGTGGCGCACGCCTTTAATCCCAGCACTTGGGAGGCAGAGGCAGGTGGATCTTTGTGAGTTCGAGGCCAGCCTGGTCTACAGAGCGAGATCCAGGAAAGGCGCAAAGCTACACAGAGAAACTCTGTCTCGAAAAAAAAAAAAAAAAAAAAAAATTAAAAAAAAAAAAGAAAGGTGCCAGGAACCTGTTGTTGCACAGGACTTTACACTGTGTAGGAGGCAAGGTTTTGTCTTTGGAGAAGATGAGGTATTGCTGAAGGAGCTACACCGCTAAGGCTTCTGTGAATAGGTTTCTGTTTGAGATTCAGGCTGAAGCAGGAAATCTGAGCATTCTTTCTTAGTTAGCTGCTCAGTTACACAGCAGTAATGTGCTGTTAGAGGAGACCTAGAAGCCAGGTATCCTTCTGAAGTTCTGAGAGTGGAAAACAGGTACCAAGAATATCCATTTGTACTTGAGGACCATCTAAACTCAAAGAAAAATTGAAATGGATAGAGACTTAAGAGAACTAAGGCAGAGTCTAAATTCACAGTAAGTACTCATTAGATTAATTCAGTCCCTAAACATCGATGACCCAGTAAAAAGAGATGTGCCCCATTATGAACATAACTATAATTTAACTTCTGTATTCTTTTAAATGAAATGTGTGGTCTTTAACAAAGAGTTCTGAGGTATATAAGAAAGTAAAATATGAGTCATCTTCAAAATATGAAAAAGTAAACACACTAGGCCTAAAAGTGACTCAAGTATTAGAATTATCAGACAGTTCACTGATGGAAATAGCTAATTAGTACTTTAAAACATACAGTGGAGAGATTGGATGATGTGCATAAAGAGATGGTGGGACTCTCACCAGGAAGCTGGTAATCATATAAAGGAGCTGAATTCAAATGTTAGAAATATTTAAATGGCAGACTCCAATGATGTTGTAAACATCTCATAAGAGTTGTTACCAAAGAGTATACACCTGGTGCTGAAGGAAATACCTTGGGGAATAAAAAACGGGCTCTGTCTTAGGAGTGGATTTTTATACTAAATATTTATGTAATACAAATATTGAGCTGAGTATTTAGAAATGAATGATAGTTATCCAGATGAAGGGGGTTTTTAATTAGAAAAAGAGTAAGACACAGTGATGTAAGAGAATGTTTGGGAAGATGTGTTTTTCTCATGACTAGAGTTTAAGCATGAGGAGGTTCATAAGAGGGGCTTCAGACAGTTTAGAAACAGATGCTGTCCTGCTCAAAAGTGTGAATTTTATATGGTAGGTAAGATTTTTAACTTTTAGCATGATCTTTTTAAAATTTTTATTTATTATTTTAAATATTCATGCAATATATTTTGACCACATTCTTACCACTTTCCCATCTCCTCCAGATTATTCTCCTCTACCCACCTAACTTCATGTTTTTTTCCCCTTTCTCTTAAAACAAACAAAGAAGAAAATAAACACACTTAAAAAAGCATAAAACCAACCAAACAACCAAACTCTATAAAGTATGTTTTGTGCTGGCTAACTATTTCTGAGCTTGAGGCCTGCCCTGGAGTTTGGTAGATCGATCCATTGTCACTCCATTTGAGGAAAACTGAATTTTCTCTCTCCCAGCTGCTATCAATTACAAAGAGCATCTTGGTTAGGGATGGGACTTTGTGCCTGCCTTCCCTTCTCCATGCTAGGATTTTGTTCACTTTGAATATGTGTGCATTCTATTATGGCCTATGTGAGTTAATGTGTGAATCAGTCCTTGTTGTGTCTGGAAAACGTTGTTTCCTTGGAGACATTCAACAACTCTGGCTCTTTTACTCTTACTGTGCCCCTTCTGCATAGGCCCTTGAACTTTGAGGAGAGGGGAGTGATATAACAACATCCTATTTAGGGATGAGTATTTCAGAGTGTTTCACTCTCTGCACACCATCCAGTTGTGGCTGTCTATATTAATTTCTTCAAGAAGAAGCTCCTCTGCTGAGGGTTAAGCAATGCACTTATCTATGGGTATAGAAATATATCATTAGGAGTCATTTTATTGCTACATTCACTTAGCAGAATAATAGTAGTAGATTTTCCCCTAGGGGCCATGACCTTGTCAAATATGGGCTCTATTTTGTGTAGCAAGCCTTAAACGCAATTTTTAAAATAGTATTTGGTTACTCTCATAACATTTATGCTACTACTGCACCAATGGGTATATTTTTCAGGCAGGTCGTTATTGGACATAGTGTTCACAGGGTTCATAGGGGGTGGGATTGATAATTACTTTTCTCCTCCAATAGCATGAATAGTACCTTCTAACACTATGATGTTAGTCAGTAGGGATAAAGATCTAGTTGAGAACCAGCTCAGTTTCTCCATGTTCAATGATAGAAGCATGATCTGTTGTTATTGTTTAGAAAGGTGAATTTAATGACAGTATAAAATATGCTTTTCAAATCAATAAAGCTCAGCAACCATTTGAAGTCTGTTTTTGTAGTGAAGTCAAAGAGTGATAAGGGCCTAAACAAAGGCATGGTACTTGAAATAATGGCAGAGGGTTATTTGAAGGACATTTAGGGTAGAATAAATAGTAAAGGGCAACAGTTTTTGTTAGAACTCAGAAACAGGGATGAATCTGTAAAGGCATTTAGATGCTTACCATTGAATGAAAGTCTTCAAAATTGAAAGATCTGAAAGTATGAGAGAATGGTTAAGAAAAGAACAAACACAAAGCATTGAATAGTGAGTTGGAGAACCACTATTTGCTGCAGGAATCAATGCATGAGAATAGACTTAGGCTGAATGGACTAAGCATATTCATGGCTAACTGAGTTACCAAGAATGCATTGATGTCACAGGAAGGAAAGAAGTAAAAGCACTTTCCCTTGGACTCATTTAACCAAGAAGGGTTCCAGATTTGAATTCTTTACTTCATGCTCCCTGTCTTCCATCCTCTGTCTGTCTATGGTATGAGTCTCAATCTATGCCTGCCTGAAGGCTACCTTGTGAACTTGTCCCTGTATGACTGTGTTTCTGTCCAAGGGTATGTGTGTGTGTGTGTGTGTGTGTGTGTGTGTGTGTGTGTGTGTGTGTGTGTGTAATAAAAGGTTTCATTTATTGAACAGCACAGAAAGAATCACATGGGGAAGAAAGAAAGAATAAAGAATACTTTACAGAATTTTTTCTTTCTTTCTTTTTTTTTTTTTGAGCCAGGGTTTCTTTGTGTAGCCTTGGCTGTCCTGGATCTTGCTCTACAGACCAGGCTGGCTTTGAATTCACAAAGATCCACCTGCCTCTGCCTCCCTAGTGCTGGGATTAAAGGTGTGCGCCACCACCACCCAGCTATTTTATAGAAATCTTTAACAGAGTTTGTCACTGGCTCCAACTAATTCCAACAGACCCAGATAACAAACAGTACCTCAAACATCATACTTATCAATATATATATCCATGGATAGATATTCATTTTAGAAGATTGCTTTTTAACCTTTGTATTTACTGCTTTTAGCAAATGATACAGATACATCGTTCCTGGTCAGGAACATGGGAAAAGTACATGACTTACGATTACAGCTGTGTAATAGCTTAGGTTGTAAAAAATGATAACATGCGAAATCCAAAGCAAGTAAGATTGATTGTTACATTGCTGTCTTAAACAAATGGGCCAAGTACACATAGGATAGCAGTATTAAGTGACCTCAAGGTTGTTATTAACTCTGGCTATGAAGTCCAGCAAAAATTTCAGTCTCTTAGAATGTAATAATTATTTTCATAATATTGCATCACTACATTAGGAAAGAGACCAAGATGACAAAACTGTGATATAAACATCTTAAGTTTTCCAAAAGAACTCTTTCATAAAGTTGAGTCTTTTAATCTCTGTGTATGTTTATGTGTGTGTGTGTGCACATGAGTGCAGTGCAGAGGCCAGAAGAGGGTATCAGCTGGAGTTACAGGCATTTGTGAGCCATGTGGTATGGGTGCTAGGAACTGAACTCTGGTCCTTTTCAAGAACAAAATGCCCATGACAACTGAGCCATCTTTCCAGTCCCATAATTTTTTTAAAGATACTTGTGCTTCGTAAATCAAAACTTGGATATTATAAATTGTTCACAAGAAACTTATTCATGTAGAAAAGGGAGAGCTACTGACTTTCTAATGACCTATATCGCAGCCATTAACTACATGGAACCACTGAACATTTGCAATGTAGATGCTTCTATGTTGGCAATATTTTTAATCTATTAGGTAAGATTAGATAAACTACTTCCAACTGTATCTTTTTACTTTTTAAATATGGTGGATATTCAAAGTAAATATAGACTTACTTATTTTGTTGGCCAGTGTTACCCTTATTCTTGCTTTATGGGAAAAATATTAAGTCTTTTCTTCAAGAGTTGAAGTGATGATATCTCAAATTTCTAGCCAAAATAAATAATAAAAGATTCACTATGAAACCATATGAAGTTTGATTTAATGATAATTTTATTGTGGTTATACTATAATTAAATATAAATTCTAATTTTTACTTTCTAAATCTTCACACTACTTACTTTGAGCTCAGACTAGCTAGATGACTCAAGAAATTGTCTTATTATTTTGTATTATACTGTCATAATTTGAATCTGATTTTCTAAGAAGGAACAACTTAAGCTTCTTATCTTCACAACCAACATTAGATGAAGTCTTGATTTTTTTTCTGTGATCTATAAATTAAAAGACAATAGAGAAGTAGTCATTGTCTTTCTTCTTTTGAGCAGCATCCAAGTACACCAGGGCTAATAACAGAACTGAAAGAGACCGAATAGAACTTCTCCAGGATGCAGAACCTTTGGATTTTAATGCAGAAACATTCACTGATGATTCTCTGGAACCTGAATCAGGAAGGTAAGTTCTGGCTGTGTCACTTGACTCTGGTATGCCTCTGAAATGTTAATGATGTACTGAGCTTGAAAACAAAAGATAATTAAACATGAGAAAAATATTGGGCTTGGTGGGAGTATGCTTGCCTGGTATGCACAAGGCCCCAATTGGATGCTCAGCATAACAAGATAAGAAAAAATTTCCTTTTCAGTATTAATTCAAAAATTTGAAGTATCATTTAATACCTTTCTTTGTTTTGTTTTGTTTTTTGAGACCAAGTCTCATACAGACCAGCTTTCCTTCCAGCTTGCTGTGTAGCTGAAGATGATTTTGATCGGATCCCCTTGCTTTCCCCTCCTGTTACAGGCATGCACCACCACACTCAGTTTATCTAGTCCTGGGGAGTTAAGTCCAGAGACTTGTGTGTGCTAGGCTACATCTACCAACTAAGCTATGTTCTTAGCACTTGATACTCATTATACCCGCTAATTATTTTATTTTTAATAATTATGACATTCTGCCAGGTGTGGTGACATCTGCCTGTAATCTCAGTCTTTGAGCAGCTAAGACAGGAGGAGCAAAATGAGTTTGAGGCCACCCTAGGCCACATAGTAAATTTCATGCCAGAATCAGAAATACAGTGAGCTCTGCTAAAGAAAAACAAAAAGCAAACAAAAAAATCATTCTTTAGTTATAATTGAAATAGATATCTTTATATCTTTTTTTTTTTTTTTTTTTTTTTTTTTTTTTTTTTTTTTTTTGGTTTTTCGAGACAGGGTTTCTCTGTGTAGCTTTGCGCCTTTCCTGGGACTCACTTGGTAGCCCAGGCTGGCCTCGAACTCACAGAGATCCGCCTGGCTCTGCCTCCTGAGTGCTGGGATTAAAGGCGTGCGCCACCACCGCCCGGCGATATCTTTATATCTTAATTTATATCTTAAGAATTGAGACAACACAGAATCATGACTATATTTATATATCTATTTAGCAATCTGATTTATGAAATTCATTATCTTTAGCCATATCTGTATAGCTAATATGTTTTCATGACAGACCCAATGTAAACATTTTAATAACATTGTCTATTGCGAAAATTCTTAGTCGATTAATGTCCTCAAAGACACAATAATTTGCCTGGAGTCACACAGTTTATGAGTAAGAAATCAGGCATTTTAACTCCAGTATGTTGACTACAAAGCCTATGTCTTCATTTGTTTTGCCATGAGAAATAATAAAACAAAAAGCATAAAAATAGAACTTCTGTATGACCCAACTCTGCCACTGTTTATATGCCCAAAAGACTTAAGTATGCATACCACACAGAAATTCCCACATCTGTATCTATTGTTAATTATTAACAATAGCTAAGACTAAATGTCCACCAACAGATAAAAGGTTAAGGAAAAGGTGGTCCATATATACAAAGAGATTTTATTCAACCACAAGGAAAAGTGTAAACATGACTTTGCAAGGAAATATTTGTAACTAAAAATCATGTTAAATGAAATAAGCCAGACTCAAAAGGTCATAAAAGTAAGAAGGGGACTATGAGAGGAAAGGAAAAGATCTTAAATGATGAAGAGAAGGAGAGTAACAGCATACATGTGAAAACAGAAGGAAGACTGCTTGTGAGGACCAGGGGACCAGCAAGAAGGGAACAGGACTGGGGAATAGCAGAGGAAGGGAATGAATATGAATAAAACATGATGTGTGTGTGTGTGTGTGTGTGTGTGTGTGTGTGTGTGTGTGTGTGTGTGTAGCATAAAGAAGCCCATTACTTTGTGTGCTAACTTCAAAAATAAAAACAAAAAAATATCACACATGCTAAAAGTGTTTAATATATTATTGCCTATAAATAACAAAAGCCCTAGAATACTCTGTATTTGACAATTAAATGTGGTTATTTATGCAGTATCCTGAATGTGTCTTACTTCCCCCATTTTGTTTATGTCCTTCACTCTATGGTGTGTGTGTGTGTGTGTGTGTGTGTGTGTGTGTGTGTCTGTCTGTCTGTCTGTCTTCAAACAGGTGCTGGTTGATTTATAATTAAGTCCTTTTGGATTATAATTTTGGGAGATAGGATTCTACTTCTGGCTACTGAATAAATTTTATGGTCTTTACAAATTCTGTAATTACTTTTAGTGTTTTCTCATCGTTTTTCTTTTTTTTTTAAATATTTTAGATCATTTTTGTATGTTTACTTTTTAGGTATCAACCTGGTGGACGATATCTCTCTATGTCTTCCAGCATAATATTTGAAGATATCTAAAGTCTGAAGAAATTCATGGCTCAAGTAACCAAGGTCATCACATCAGCTCAGCCTTTATGAACATCATTGTGACCTACAATTCATCTGTACTCTCTGAATAATAAGGATAACAAAAATGGCATTGAAAATGGATCCCATCTTAACTATATTAAGTTATTGTTTGTTAACTAGAGTATCATCTTTTTTGATAGGATTTATTATATACCATCTGAAGTGTCTGCCTTAGAAGTGTAGTTAAATGGAAGGATTCAGTTCATGATAAAGAGAACACAGTTTGTTTCAAGTTAATTTTTTTCAGGAGAGTTATTTTAAAGTTCAAGGAAATCATAAGTCATACTAAATACTACTATTTTATAACTGTAATTTAAATTTATTCAACCTACATTTCCCAAAGAAGTGAAAGTGAACTGAGACCTCAGATAATTACTGTATTTACAAAACCCATGTCTTAAAATAAGGCTTCCTTATCAGACATAACTGAATGTAAACAACTCTTCTTCCGCTCTGTATACAAAATAGTGGGATTTTGCATGTGTAATTAAGATTACTCTTCAATTGATAGTGTTAGTGTCTTTGGCATGTGTATTCTAATTGAGTGAGGTGTTATTTTCACTCTTTGTGATAACTGGATCTTTTTATGGTTTTCATATTATTGCTTTGTAAAAGATTTTCATTTCAGAGAAAAATATTCACCTTTAGCATTTAGCATACTGACTTGACACTGATCATTCCAGCCAAGAAAAAAAATAATAAATATTAAGGATGGGTAATATATATATATCCAAAGAGTTCCCCAAATTCTCTAATACTTAAAAGATGCCTGTTAATACTCCTTGAAAAGAAAATATTTGGCTATTTTGGCTATTCAGAAGTAAAAAGAAAAATAATCCATTTATGATTATTGCTAGCATTAAAATTTTAACTTAAAAATGTATTAGGATGAAAATGTGTAGTAATAATTTCTTTGTTAAACATGCTTATTATTTTAAATTGGTTGTTTCAACCTTTGCATTTAAGCCAAAGTTGAGTATTATGTTTTAAAGAGCCAGTGTTTTATTACAAAGTGAACATGATTTGAGCACAACATATTTGCAGGGATTGTTCTATGGTCCTGAAATATTTGTGTTTCTTACAGAATCCATTCTACATGAGTGACCAGGTTTGAACTTGTCCAGACAGTCTCGCACCTATTTTCCTTGCAATTATTCCTAGTGCTTACGTGTTACTTTACCATATGTTGAGGACATAGTTCTATATAGGTACTGAAAGGAAGGATGCATCATTCCTCATTATCTTTCTTTTTTAATGGTCGTATTTTTTTATAGCCTTTTAAGTAGAGCCCCTTTTAAATAATTATCAATAGATAGATACTCTGAATTGAAGGTTGCATGCCTGCTTAATTCAAGGACACATAAGGCATATAACCTTTTACTGTGAAATGCGGTCAGAGAACAGTTGACCAGAGCAGTGATAATGTAATGCTGTTTATAATTTCGTGATTGGTTCCTGAAATACCTTGTGCAGATCTTGGAACCTTTCAGTGCCTCAATTTCTTCATTTTTCAGAATGAAGGACGTATTTGCTACTTACCCACTGATCTACCTCACGAAACTGTTGTGAGGGGGTTCGGTTGATGATGGTGTGCTGGGCTGTTTTGTATGTTTGTTTGTATTTGTTTTTTTTTTTTTTTTTTTTTTGGTTTTTCGAGACAGGGTTTCTCTGTGTAGCTTTGCGCCTTTCCTGGGACTCACTTGGTAGCCCAGGCTGGCCTTGAACTCACAGAGATCCGCCTGGCTCTGCCTCCCGAGTGCTGGGATTAAAGGCGTGCGCCACCACCGCCCGGCTGTACTTGTTTTTTAAGTAGTACTTTGAAGGTGAAAAGGATGATTATCACAGTAAGGGGTCTTTGAGAAGCTTTAAAGTCCCCAAAGCAAAATGAACTAATTAGTCTAAAGTCCCTGAAACAGTGTTTCATCATTTGTTCTGTGGATTTACTTTGAAATATTTTTCTTAAATATGATTTTTGTTAAATTTTTTTCTTCATACTCAGATGCTGTTCTTGTAATGGATAAAAAGAGAAGAAATGTCCAATTTTACAGTTAATTTTGATAATACACTAAACAAATTGATAGGAATGTATAAAGGAATTCAGGTATTTTCCTTTGAAGTTACACTAATAGAAGCATACGTTTATATTCATATGTATAGATACATATGTACACACACATATATACTGGGTTTCATTGTGGCTTTTGAGTTACTTCCACAGTGAATTTTTGTTTCAGTGATCCAGAATGTTCAAATTTTTAAAGAGTTTCTCTTACAGGATTTTGTATGCAACAACGTAGAAAAGTTACTTTGCTGAGTAAATTTGTGTATAGAAGGCAATGATTTCATGCTAGAAGACTGAGTTTATTTCTGAGGAATTAAGTTAATATTTATTAAGCTTTGTGTAAAGCATTGATAGTATGTACAATATTTTTATTTTTGAGACACTTATTAATATGTAATGATACAGTCACAAAAATGTTACTACAGAGTTCATATGCATTACATGCAAAATGGTTTTCTTAAAGAATTATTTCTGATACTTTTTCATGTCTTTCTTACATGCTAATAAATATTTGATTAGAATGATCTAAAGTTTAGGTTTTTTTGATACAGGGTCTTATTATTGCCCAGGCTGGCCTCAAACTGTCTGTATAACTGAGGATCACCTTGAACTTCTGATCCTTCTCTTCCACCTCCCAAGTTCTAAGATTAAGGACATGTGCCACAGCACCCAAATCAATATTTTTAAAATAATTGTTAAGAATATTTAACAAGCTAATAACTCAAAATAAGTATTATATAAAAAAATCTTTAAATTTCAAGAATCACTTATATATTGTTAATTTACATTTTAAAACTGCATGATCATTTTATTAATTATACATTTTTATAAAAGAATTTTAAATAAGAATTAAAACATAAAGGTAATTATAAATATTTGCTATCGTACCACATTCATACAAGAGTTTTAGAATAATTTCATCCCACAAAAGGGTCTCACTTCACACAAGTGGTAAGACTTAAAGTATGGAAAGTTCTTATCATAAAAACAAATCAGACTCAACCGCCTAAACACCCCAAAAAAGTGTTGCTTGTTGATTTTTCTGGCCTCTACCATTTAAATTGTCTGATCTAAAATTTAAGCATATGTGTCCAAAGTAAGTGTAGGTGGGAATTTGTAAGAAAGGCATTGTGTATTTTTTAAAGTTTTTTTTCATCATGCTAATGGACAAATTTCATTTGTTTATTTACAGACTTCATTTTATATCTTTAATAGGTTTAGGGAATATTTTTGATCATATGCTGATTACCGTATTAAGAGGAAATAAAACCTACAATTACCATTTAGGCTATAAAGTATGATTTGTACTTAGAATTTGAATAGGCCATGTCTGAAAAAAATCAAGGATGAAAGAATATTTGTACTTAGAGACAAAACATGCCCTTGAGAAATCTGAGCACACTTGAATTTTCAAAGTGCAGTAGACTGTATAAATTTAACTTTCAAAGCTAGGAAGTAAGTGTGTTTAGGGTTGCCTTTCCTTTGTGCCTCCCTCTCCCACCCTCCCTCCTTCCCATCTCTGTCATTTGACTTTCAGGATGCTGACAGATTTTTCTCTTTTGTTTGTTTTATGTACACAGGTTTGTTTGTTTGTTTGTTTGTTTTTTGATGAGCAGTACACTGAAAAGGAATTACTTCTGACTTCAAACCTCATTACTTGAAACAGCAGCATTGTACCTAAAGTAGTGAAACAGACTGCTGGATGAATGAACAGTGTCTGAATAGAAGTGTGGTTCATACTAGCTCAGTGCACTTTCTTTTATATGGCTAAGGAGAGCGCTGCAGTAAAAATTATTTTCACTGTAAAAATTTGTATAAAATGATTTTAAAATGCCCAACATTAAGAACTGTGAGTGCCAGATGGTGGTGGCACACGCCATTAATCTCACCACTTGGGAGGCAGAGGTAGGTGGATCTCTGTGAGTTCAAGGCCAGCCTGGTCTACAGAGTGAGTTCCAGGACAGTCTCCAAAGCTACACAGAAAAACCCTGTCTCAAAAAAAAAAAAAAAAAAGGGTGGGGGGAGAAAAAGGAACTCATAAAAATGTTCATGTTTAAAAATGGAACAAAGGGTTTCAGGAGTCTTTGTGAAATCTGAATTTCTTTTTTGGTAGTACTTCCAGATTAGTGGTTTTTTTTTTGTGACTGGAGACTTGGAAGACTAGACAGGTTTAGCCCCATTTCCAGTACCTGGATCCCAGCCCCATGGGGCGGCACTACCCTCCTTTCCACTGCCAAGGAAGCATGCTCTCACCTCTAATTTCTTCCATATTAGCCAGTATAACAACAACAACAACAAAATTCCATTTTCAAAGAATTTATCCATTGAGATCAGGCGAGGTATTGCTATAATTTAAATTTTTCTTAATAAAGTAATACTTGGTATTATTCTGTCATCTCTATCCTAAAAGATGTTTCAGTTTCTTCCCCAAAAACCTTTTCTTTTGTGATTATGTTGATTACAAATAATTTTGTAAAAGAATTTTCTGTGTTTGATGCAGAAGAGTGGCAAACTGTGGCAGGCATATGTAAGGTGAATCGACAACACATAGAAGTGCACAGCATTTAGAGGTGACATTATGGCAGGACTCCACTGTCTTTATCAAAAGAGAACTGGCTAACATCTTCCCTATTTGGCATGCCAAGTTGTAGGGAAGAGACTGTGTTATTTATTTATTTTTTAAATAATCCAATGGATTTGTTTTTGTCTGTATTTTGGGAACAACTTGAAGGATTTTTCTCATTTTAGAAGATAGAGAATATATCTATCTCTTAAATACTATAACCTAATATATATAAATTATAGCATTGAAAAGTACAAAGAGCTCTAATTATTGATGTTGTTATTCCCTGGTATTTCATTTTTATAAATGTTTTTGTAAGTAAGTAATTGTAATATTGCTTTTAAATAGTTTTAAAGTCATCCTTAAATAAGTTCTGATCCAACATACTACTTTGATACAATATTCTAAAGTGCAGTACTCTGATGTGAATTTGGAACATGTCTGCATTTCCTTAGTTTCTTCATATGTATGCATACACACACAGTACCCAAGAAAAGTATACCATAAGCCTAATTTCCTATTGCATTGATAAAGAGCTTGGTATTTTGCCATTATATAATTCAGTTGACTAGATGAAATAGAACATAAATCTTTTTAAATTGTATCCAATCACAATTTTCAAAATGGTAACTCTTCATTTTGGGGGTGCATGATGCCAAGTTTATCTTTAATCAGCCTTTATTACTGGATGTATAACAGTGGATGTTTTCCTACTTGTCCAGTAGGTTGTAGATTTAACTATTTTTCTGTAGATTCTCACTACATTTTCAAATCTATATTTGGAAAAAACTGCAAATTGCTATCAGTAAGTAAGTTAGCATCTTTGGCCTTATCTATGCATAATGTTCCTTAGTTTGATTTTGACACACTCATTGACTCACAATTCCTTTGTAGTATTGTAACTGACTGTGATGTAATGAATTTTTGAAGTGTTTATATGATTCATTATTAAAATATATATAGCTTTGCATGAAATAAATTACATTTCTATGAGCTACAGTTTTGCTGGTTATTTATGCATCTTCATTGAGATTAAACTGTTTTGAGAAGATCTAAGTATTCTTTATTCCTTATATATCCATTTATATATCCACTGTCAAATGTTATAGAACATTTAAAGATGCATAATTAAATAGGTATACTCTTAGTATCTGCTCTGTCTTGTGTTTACAGTGAAAATAGAAGTAAACAGAAACTTGATGTGCATGTTACTGACAGTAAAAATGGAGAAACAATAGAAAGTTAACAGAACCAAAGATGGCGTTTCAAAAACATAAATAAAAGTGATAAAACTCTAGCCAGCCTAACCAAGAAAACAGAACAGATTTCTTTGCTGTGTGCCAAATATAAACAATTGGGATTTGAAATTCAAAACACAGTAACATATATATTAGTCCCCAAATGAAATACTTAGGTATAAATCTAACAAAATCTATACACATTATATTTGAGAAAAAAATAGTAAAGTGATGAAATTAAACAACTAAGTAAGTGAAGAGATAGTCCATCTTTTTGGCTTAATAGTTTATAGATGTGGATTTTTCCTAACTTGACCTACATACTCAATGCAGTCAATTCAAAAGCCTAGTCAATTATTTTGTGAATATTACCAAATAGTTTATGGGAGAGGCAAAACTCTACAAGAGCCAATTAGATATTGTCAAGAGCAAAGCCTACAAACACTACCTGACTTCGAAGTTAATTATAGAACAGTAAGAAGGCATGGTAGCATTGTTGGGGAAATTACCAGATCACTTAATCAGAATAAGGAACCTAAAAATGAATGCACATGAATAGATTCAGCTGATCTATGACAAAGGACAAAGGCAACCGTGTTGAGAAAAGAATGTCTTCCACAAATGTTGATGGAATAGCTGATAAGCATACTACTACATACAGCTATAAAAAAGCATATTACTATGGATGCCAATCTTACACTTTCCACAATTTAAAACCATGGTCCTGAAGCACAAAACTATAAAAATATAAGGTTACATAGTGGATACTATTGATTATCGAAGGTGATCTTGGGTTTGACAATAATGTTTAAATCTAACACCAAAATGAATCCACTGAAGGAAAACTTGAAAAAATGGTTAGAAAGTATTCAAGTATTCATTTCTTTTTAAGGGTTGGAGAGATGGCTCAGTGGTTAAGAGCACTTACTGCTATTGCAGAGGACCAGGATTTGGTTCCCAGCACCAACATGGCAGCTCACAACCACCTATAAACTCCAGTTCTGGGGAATCAAATGCCCCCTTCTGGTCCCCATGAGCACCAAGCCTTTATGTTGTACGCATATATAATCAGGCACACATGCATACACATAAAATAAATATAAATTTTAAAGTTTTTTAAATACTTTTTTTAATACTTATCACATAAAATTGTGTTTTGTTATGACATGTATAAAAGATTTTGATTATATTTACTAGCTTCCATCATCCCAATGGTTTCTTTCCTAGTCTGTAATATTCCCCTTTCTACTTCTTTCACGTCTTTAAAAGGATTCATTCCATGGATAAGTGAGAGCACATGACACTTATCTTTCTGCATCTGGCTTATCTGACTTAACAAGATCATCTCCAGTCCCATCATTTTCCTTTATGTGACATAAGTTTGACAAATATGGGTGACTATTAATCTGGAATTCTTTCTTATCCTATATAGCTTTTAAGAACTAAGACTTCAAGTTGTATAAACCAGCTGAATAAGTAATACCTAAGCAAAAATAGAAACATGTACAGTATAAGGACAATAACCTTAAAATTATAACAATATACAAAAATATCTTAAACGAAAGTAGAAACATGCATGCAGTTTAACACAAATAACTTTAAATTTGTATCAATATATAAAAATCTTAGAAGTACAAACATATACAATATAACAAAAATAACCTAAATTTGTATCAATATACAAAAATCCATACCAATGTAAATTATTTAAAACTGATAATTGCTTTTTTAGTTTGAAAATAGTCACAATAATCTACCTTTTTATTCTATCATATCTAATCCCCCCCTTTTTCTTTTCCAAATGAGATCCCTGAGTTTAATATCTTTTGTTCAGCCCCTTACCCTATAACAACTTATAACCAACCCCCTTACCTGATGACAAATATCCATAACCCTGAGAAAGAGCAAAAACCATCTACCCCATTTATTGGGAAAGTGGGCATCATGTTCTTAAAATTACTTCCTGCTGTTTGGGGGGGGCGACAGCATCTCTAGGGAACCCTGTAAAAACTGAAACAATGGTTAAGTCTCTGGAGAACTAGCTGCATGATTTGTTGCCAGTCTCTGAGTAATGGGAAAGTGTAGAGCTTATCTGAAGTCCTGGCTGGAGTGTTACATGAGCATGGACCATCTCAATTAGTCACCTTGAAATTGTGCTGAGAAGTTTGTAGTTCAAAGCCGTTCTTAGGGTGGTGGATATCGGCTTAGTGGCATACAGCTGGTTGTGGGGCCCCATCAACTTTTTGGAGAATTCAGAGATCACTGTTAGGAATATTTATCATTCACTGTAGAAAACTTAAACATCATGAATATCAAAACAGAAAGTTTAAATTTTGAAATAGTACTATACCTAAATAACAGTTTTAAAGAGTCAAAATTAATTCAAGGGGTCTGAGATTTGTGACAATAATAGCCCCTAGATTTTGGTTTTCTTCTATCCCATACTAGGTGGCTCTTCTGATATGAGACAGAGACTCTGATTTTTGTGTTAACATATGCTTGGGTTTAGAGGAGAGAGCCACACTCCAACTCCAAAGCCACCTTAGTTTTTAGTTGAGTTGGGACTGTAAAGACCATCTGTTTAATGTGACTGTAGAGACCAGTGAAAACAAACATTTTGAGAGGTATATGAGATTTTACCCTGTTGAAAGTATATTACACCGTTAGTCCAGATTATTCCTTTTTCTTGTAATTTTTTCCAGACAATTCTCTCTTCTTCTTTAGATGTCTATCTGTCCAAAGGTCTTTGACTTCTTCAAGATAGATGTTTTTATTTTCCTGCAAAGACAAGAACAGAACCTTGCCCTGACTCTAATTTGGTGAATTTTTCCTTTTGACAAGTAGAATGGCCACACTGGTTGATGAACTATCACCTCTCATCATTAAGAGGTCTCTCCTGTTCAAATCAAATCTTTATTAATTTTGATGGTATCCATAGCTTTACTTCTGTGGAAACAAAAGCAAAACCCCTTCCCCAACATAACATATCCTGGTTTCCATTCTGAGGTCAACACATCTGTAAAGTATACAGGCTGATTTAATTCAGTAGTTTTTTTCTACTGTCCAATGTCTGTCGGCAGCTGTCATTCCAGTCTTAATTTATACAGGTATTCCCATGACGGCCATGACTTCTAATAGATGTGTAAGTACAGAATTGGCCTTTTCAGAACTCAAAGCCATTGCCCATTGAAATCCTGAATATATATCTATGGTATGGTATACATATTTTAATTTTCCAAATTCTGAAAAATGAAACACATCCATCTGCCAAATTTCATTTCATAACTCTGTGGTTATTGAGATTATAGCACACACAATAAGACAGTACCCAAACAAAGCAAAATGAAACAAAAAATCCACAAAGATACCAGGGAATTAAGTTTTCATTCTATGAATCTATTATTTTTATGTAACCAGAGCTAGAAAACAAAGAACTAGAGAAGAGGAAATTATAGAACAAAGCAAGTGAAGACATTTTGTATACTATATTTCTAGTATGAATATAAAGTAATTCAAATGGTCTTAGTGTTAGTTGTCCCTTCTCATATTCCCTCCTGTACCCTTCTCACAATCCCCATCCCTATTTTATCCTTCTATTGTAGTTTCTGTCTTATCTCTCCATGACACTATATTCTACTTCCCATTCCTTGGGAGATCCTCTCCTCCCTCCTACTCCCTTGCATAAAGCCAGGGTGTGGTCATCATATACAGATTGCATTTGTACATTAGCATAATCTCCCTCTCCAAGAAACAGCTTGGGAGATTTCCATACCTATGATCCTTCTTTGTTGTTCAATGGTCTTAGCCTCATCCTTCCACCAGGTCCTCCATTGTAATTGGAGACCAGCTTCTAAGACAGGTGTAACCAAATCTCTCCAGTCTTGAGGGGTAAATCTATTACAAGTTGACCACGAGTTTAACATTGGCTTCACAAACAGGGAATGCATACCATATGGCACTATAGCTTCTTTGACTCTCCTCAAATCTAACATTTGCACAGGAATCCAGTCAGCTCTTATACAGCCTTGAGCATTTGGCATTTCCTGTAAGGTTACTAGATAGATTGAGGTCGGCTGTTTGAAAGCCTTAGGCTGTTTCTCTGTAACCATATAGTGCAATGCTGAGATTGGTTGACCTTTAAATTCCTCTATCTGGGTCTGAATTTCTTTATGATCTGTTTTAACAAGTTTTTTTAAAATTTTTATCTTGGCACTCATATTAACCAACTTTTTAAATGATAAATAATGATCAAACAAATACTATTTATAGTTGACATTACATAAATCCTATCTATGTTAATTTTCCTCTCATTTTAAATCCCAATTGTCTCACCAAATCTGCCAACAATGATGATTCAGATGTAAGGCTGACTGCTTCTGCTTTCAACAGCAGAAGCCTGAGCAGCTTTCAAGGCAGCTACCTGGTGTGGTAACAGCCCAAGATGGGAATCCAGGGAGAGCCCACAACCCACCAGGAGAGAAGCCAAAGAGCAAGCTATCTGCATGAGGGAATGTGAGGAAGTTGCTAACTCCTATGGTTTTTGAATCCCAAAAAATCCTATGGCGTTTGCTGCAGAGAGACTGCAACAAAAACTTATCCAGTGGGTCCTAACCTAATCCCTAGACTCCAGCCCATGTGGGGTGAAGACTCTGGCCACATGTAGCTCAGGACTCAGCCAGGGCCTGCAAGGCTACAGACAAGTGACTTTTTTGTGATTTCATGCCCCACAAGTTGGATGCCAGATGTTCGAATTTCTAAATG